GCATTAATATACTTAGAGAGAGATCCTCTAAAACTCCCCTAACCCTCCGAGAGCTCTTTAAGAGCTTCTATCGAAGAGGCTCTTCTCGTAAGCTTAATAATTTATATCTATCTTTACGAATACTTAATGAAATTTTATCTTCGCTATATTATTTGAAAGCGTATAATTAGCTCTACGGCTTTATAAACTTATTTTCAGAGGCCGGAAAGATATGGTATTTGATATGGGATTTAAGCAATTTTCGGGATACCATATCAAAAGGTATAGGATATTTCTGATTTCACTCGGTATTTTATACACAAATTACCGTATTTTAAAATCGTTCCGTATCAAATAGACTAGCCTCGTTATAGACCTTTAAGAATTATAATATTCTATAAATAGATTAAAAAGATATAAATTTTCAAAGAAAAGAAGTAGAAGTTGAAAAATTCTAAGTCCAAAAAATCCCATACCTTTCCGGCCAGTACTGAGGCTGAGTTAATTTATTATTATATTTTTAACAAAAGAAAAGAACTCAAAAAAGGTAGATTTGAGATTTTGAAATTCTTTTCCAGCTTCCTCTTTTGAACGTACTCGTATGCACTCGCTTTTAGCTTAGATATAAAGAAATATATTAAGTTTTAGCTTTAAAATCATGAAATCTGAAGATCTAATTAGTCAACTTTAAATTTTTAATTATCGACCATTTTATAATCGAGGGTCGATGATAAAAGTCGTTATATACCCGAGAATTCTCCCAGTCTAACTATTAAAAAAGTCTTCTTTTCGATCTTTTTTAGGAGACATAAGCGTAACTCTCTTATTATCTATTCAGTACTTGATTGCTAGACCTTTTCGCTCTATATACTATTTTATACGATTCTAAATATAATACTTCTTTTCTTTAAAATTAACTCGTTTCTCTAGCTTTCTAGAAGATTCTAGAATATACTTATTAATCTCTTATTACTCGATAGCCTTTCACTTCTTTTTAATAAACTTTACGAAGTTATTTATAATCTATAGCATAATATAACTTAGCTTAAAACTTAAGAATTCGCTATATATTCTCGATAGAATTAAGATCTAGCGAATTAGTCGACTAATTATCGATATAATAAAGTTTTATTTCGTCTTTAATATAAATACGAGTAAAGGCCTATGAATTAAATTCATAATCGTTTTTTTTGATCAGGGCTGTCGAGTAAATTTGGTGAGCGGTCTTTGGTGAGCGATCTTTGGTGAGCGATATTTGAATTCCTTACCTTTAAAGAACTATAAGACTAAATTTAGTAATTCTTTTTTTATCTGAAAGCCCACATTACGTTCTATAATTTAAAAAAAGATTCTCAAAATTTTAATACAAAGTAAAAATGTTATTCTAAAATTAAATAATGTGTACCTGATTAGGGCTGTCACTCCGGCTGTCGAGCGAACTTTGGTGAGCGATATTTGAATTCCTTGCGCTTTAATAATTATAAGACTAAATTTAGAAATTCTTTTTTTATCTGAAAGCCCACATTTCGTTCTACAATTTAAAAAAAAAATCCCCAAAATTTAATAGAAAACAAAAAAGTTATTCTATGTGTTAATAACGTACACCTATTTTTTTAATAAGGGAGATACGGGAGAGGGAGATTTTGATGGTTGCGGACGCTAATTTATTTACCCGCGATGACCCAGCCAATTTAACCAAAGAGCGTAGCGAACTCGAATTTATAATTGACTGCATATATAAATTTAAGGTTTTTAAGCTTAATTCTATCTTATTCTATTATATATACTAATAGTAATTTTTAAAACTTCGAGTACTATAACTTCTATTATAATTCTTTTAAAAGATTATTTCTTTTCCTTTAATCTTAAGTATTTCTTTTCTTCTTTTTACGATAGAAAGAATCTTATTAATTTATTATTCTTAAGTTATAAATCCCTCGACTTTCTACTTTTACTGTTAAATATTTCTATTCTTAAACTTCTTATTTATCTCTTCGATATATATATATAAAATATTAGATTAAATTTAAAGTCTATTAAGATTATTACTTATATAGAAAACTAACTTATCGTAGTATATCTTCGCTTTTAAATATAATCTAGATATATTTTTTCGTAAGAGTTACGTATAATTTAATTCATATAATAAGAATTCTAATAAAAATAATACTTATTAGATTAATAATTAAGTATTTATTCTTACTTTAACTATTTATATCTCTTATATTAATAAAGTTAATTTTTCGTCTATTTCTTACTAATCTATTTTTTTTAATAAATCTAATACTTATAGTAGCTAGTATTATTTATATATCTCTTAATAATATATATACGTAAGAGAAATTTAAAATCTAATAGAGAATATATTTAAGATAAATATATAAATTTTTTAGTAATAAAATTTCTTAGCTTTTTATACTAATTATATTTATCTTTTAAAGTCTTAATTATCTTTATAACGATATTTTAATTAATTTTAAAAGATTAATCGCTTCGTTTCGTATTAATACGATAACTTAAGACCTTATAAATAGTATATTATATACGTCGTAAGATATTAATCTCTTATTAACTCTCGTTATTAGTATATTTCAACTTTCTTATTTATTATATACGCGTTCGCTTAAAGATAATGTATTTTAAATCTTCGACTAGATCTAATAAGAGTATAGGTATACTAATTCATTTACGCTTAGTTTTAGATATTACAATTAATAATAATTATAATAGAAAGAAAATAAAAGGATCTCTTTAAAGAATACTACTAATTTTCATAGGGCTTAGCGGGGATCGATATGCAACGACTTTCCCTCGGATTTCAGTCTTAAGTAATGAGAAAGCAAGCTTTCCAATGATTGAGAAGAGCGAGATCGACTGTACCGTTTAGCGTTTAGCGTTTTTTACTCTAATCGAGCTTATTCCTTCATCGCTATTAGCGTGTGCAGAAAACGTTGGAATACTTGGTACTGAGATTCTTATACACACCCCACCAAAAGTAGTACTGAGTAGATGAATCTTCTCCTATATCGCATTCTACCACCTTTCTCATCATATTTAAAACTCCTATATATCTCGCTTAGCCGATCCTTGGTGTTTTATCTTAGTGTTTCGAAATATCTTCTAATCGACGCAGTCAGGGGCCCCTTCCTCTACCGACCTCCCCTCCGGCCAGACAGTCCAAGAGGCCTAAGAAGCCGTCCTCCCGTGCCCAAGCGATTGCTGAGGATAGCCAGCCGGGCCCCAACAACAGTCAGCCAAGCGCAGCTACCCCCGCTCCCAGACCTAAAGGCCCTCATACCAAAGCCGCCCGTGAACGTGCGGCCCTAAAAGACGCACAAGCTCGACGGGCCGCAGCAGCAGATAGAGTCAGGGCTCAGCAACGGCGACAGGAGGAAGAATGGGAGGCGGAGGTAAGCCCCTTCTATCGATCGTTGCGAGGGGCATTTCGAAACAACAGGAATTGGCTAAGCGAGATATACAGGAGCTTCAAATATGATGAGGAAGGTGGTAGAATGCGATATAGGAGAAGATTCATCTACTCAGTACTACTTTTGGTGGGGTGTGTGTGAGAATCTCAGTGCCAAGTATTCCAACGTTTTCTGCACACGCTAATATCTAATTCGATTTATCTTCCTGCGGCTTCTTTTACGAACAGAACCGGCCACTCTTCGTTCCCCAAGAATCTGAACTGCTTGGTTTCATTGCTGTGAGTACAGGTTTGTGTAGAATAAGATATCACGATCCTTAGAGACAGTGTCCGCAAAGCTGATTCTTGCCTTTAGTGACAGAAACCGTAGCACCGACAATACAATGAGTGGTCTAACACCTGCCCTCTCAAACGGCACAGCCATCCAGCCGAACGAACCGCAACTACCTTGACCCTATGACACCGTCAATTCCTTCGTTGCTCTGGCTCATCTGCAACCGGGATCATCGATCCTTGGCCTTGGTCGTGATTCTACTGTGACGACTGCGGTTGCAAGGAAGGTTCTTGGTACTAATCACGGACCGATGGTAGCGGTCTCTCAATCTCACGAGCTCGATCAAGACGCCCACCACTTTCTGCGATCCCTCGAGCTAGATGAGGAAATTACTTTGCTCCACGGCGATATCTGCCGTTTGAATGATTTAAGTGACGTTCTCTCTTCGGCAAACCGGGGCCAGCTCACTTTCGACGTCATCTTTGCTCGGAATGTTCTCGATTCCATCCCTGTTGACCTACGTGCGGCAACGCTTCTACATTGGGCAACCTACCTTACCCCAGGCAGCGGCCGCATAGTTGTCACGTTTTCGCCAGGAGCCGATACTTGGGTCGAATTTGCAGGGTTGCTGATCATCAATGGAAAAGGCAAAGGGCTAATTACCGAATCATACCCCGAAACTATAAATCCTTACCGAATCATACCCCTAATTACTGAATCATACCCCTACACCAAAATTTGGGGTATGATTCGGTAAAGATTAATTGCATGGGGTATGATTCGGTAACTTATCAAACTTGCCATAGTGGCCTACTTAAATAGCCTACTGTTGTAAATTTAGCCCAATGTTAGCAGCAGCCCCCACGGGGGCCCTATTTAGGTCCAAATAGGGGTGTCTGGCTGTTAAAGCATTAGCAACTCAGCTAAAAAAGCCTGGTCCCGGGGGTGTCTGCGCTTGACAGCCAGACACCCCTAATTGGACCTAAATAATGGCCGTCGCAGGGCCCCCGTAGGGGCTGCTGCTAACACCCACTCGGCTTTCGTCTGATGTATTTAAGCTGGTAGATCACCTATTGCATGCGCTCGGAGATATTTCCTTTTTTCTATGGTCGGATGGCCCAGGTCGCGAATTTTCTCCTTTGCGATTTTTATCATGAATGGCAAATTACCGAATCATACCCCAAGTAATGGCAAATTACTGAATCATACCCCTAGGGGTATGATTCAGTAATTAGGGGTATGATTCGGTAAGGATTCATAGTTTCGGGGTATGAATTAGTAATTAGCCCAAAAGGCAAAGCCTGGTTGGGTTTTCGATGTATGGATGAAACGGAATGGACGCGTGGAGAAGAAGCTTTCGGTGCTATTGCCTCTGCAGCAAATATCTATCTTGCAGAAGTGCAGCGAGTTGGTTTTGATGGATCAGATGCGTATGAGGAGTGGGAGGGTTGGGATCTCGTTCTCAAGGATTGTGTTCAGCTCCACTATCAAGAAGTCTCCGAACGAAACGAGTTGAAGCCAGCGTGGACAGATCAGGCCGGAGGATTCTCTCCTCTTTTCAAGGCGATGGTTCTCAAGTCGATGATGCCATTCCTGAAGTCTGAGCTCATAGCGGCATTTGGCGGAGAGGATGAGGGATTCAAGTTGGATGTGCAGCCATGTGCGGTTACCTTTGCGGGCGTGATATCTTGATTAGGTGGCTTCAATCGGGGGAAGGGGGGGGCATTATGGACTGCAGCAATCGCTCGCCAGGGAAGGAACCGTCAAGCTTACGCCTGGCCAGCGGTATTTAGCTTGCTACTTCTCCGAGATAGAAGAATCGTCATCATCCCACTCATTTATGACTTTCCATGCTCCTACCATAACTGTAGGGTCTTATGCAGCCTGTCGCGGAGTAGGGTTGACATGACAGAAATTAATGCAGAGGAATTGAAGAGGTTGAGATCTGACCAAGCTTCTGCTTGGTCAAAGAAGCTTTTTAAAAATACAAATATTCAAACTTTTCGGCCTCACGTTCTTTTCCCCCATGCTTCTCGACTATTGCTAGACCCTTTCAATCAATCACTGCCCCTTTGCCGGCCTCACCCGCGGACTGATCCTCTCCTTCTCCAGTTCCGCCATCGGACTAGTCTCTCTTCTCCCAAGCAGCAGCCTTCCTCTCTGCTTTTGCTGCCTGCTTGATCGCCTTCTTACGGTCCTTGCCATGGCGTGTCTCATCGATCTTGTACTTGGTGTGGGATTGAAGCGCTGAGACGGGTGGGTCTGGGATTTTAGTAGTCATCGGGGGTGGACGCTCGAGCACGGCAATAACAGCGGCGATGTCTGCACAACACAGAAAGCTATTGGCTTTGTAGTGTCCGCAAGCGGCTTCTACGTAGCGGTTAGTGAACCATGTAAGCTGGGCTCGAGTTAGTGGATCGTTCAGGGTTGGAGCTCGACATCCAGCAAGCCAAGACAGGAACGCCGGATAATCGTCTTCACATCCACTCTCTGGCAGGTGTTGCGGCATTTGGTTCGTAATTATAAGACCGGTGTCTCGTGCAAGTTCTTGTGCGTACGCACGGCACTCCACCCACGTGTCTTCGTCCACCATCGTCCTGCAAACCTCCAAGGTAGGTGCCCGGTGCACGCCTGGGGATACTGATCCGGCTCCGATATACGTGGCCCCGCAGCGGCGTCCTGGGTGGGGTATGTCCAAGATCAATTTCCCCCCTGGGCTGAGGTATGTTGCCCAATACCGGAGAATTTGGACTCGTTGATTTTTTCGGACATTCAGGAGGACTCGTTCGGCGGTGATAAGGGAGAAGGTAGTGAAGCCGCAGTCGGTGCTGATTTGGCTTAGTATTCTTGGAGAGAAGTTGAAGATGTCGTCGTGAAATGCGGAGATGCTGTTGCGTAAAGCAGTCTGCGGTATTTCGTTATGCCAGTTTTCTAAGGCTTGGTCCAACATGGCTCTCAATCCATCTATCAGGACTACTTCGAACTCCTGCCTCAACTGTATCAGGCATTTGGCGCATGCTATGGTCGTGATCCCGGTCCCCGCACCCAGATCCAGGTATGATGCAACTGGAAACTCGGTGGGAATCTCCTGGGCGAGCCGCTGAGCGGTGGCTCGAAAGCCGAGTGCGGTCGCGTCGTAAAAGCGAATGTGAGGTGGGGTGTAGATTTGCGACAAATTCTGGAATGTATGCTCGATTGCATCGTCTTCAATGAGAGTACCAGCGGCTTCAGACTCGACTCGAGCATTATTGAAGGCTGGAGAGTCTCGTCGCCGACATGTAGTGAGCGGTGGAGGCGTCATTTGGGCGACTTCTTAATGAGCTAATAAGGGTTTGGAGAAAAGCAAGGTTGCAACTTCCCTAAGTTTGAGAATTTTCGTAGAATATGGAGATATGGAGTAGTTAAAGAGAAGAAGAGGAAATTGGAAGACGTTCGAAAGATTTGGGAATGGTTGTATAGGAGGGAGAATATTTGAAGGAAGTGATGGTAATTGAAGCAATACGTAGTTGTCAGAGGCAAGGCAACGAAGTGAGAAATTTAGCGCTATGCGGTACTCAGGGTCTTGAGTGAAAGTCATCACCGCCTTGAATCTGGCGTTACTCCCCGGTCTCCTTCAAAGGCTTCGTCCAAGGAATCCGTCCTTATTTCTCAAACTTTAGATAGTGCCTACGATACAGTATCCCCAGGCTAGGTGAGATGTTGACTCAGTGCCTGTCCAAAGTACGCAACCGCCGGACTAACTTTGACTTGTGGCGTCAAATCGTCTCAATTTCGGGTCACGATGAACGCACCAGCACCCTTTTTCGAAGACAGCGTTGCCAGCGATCTCAGTTCTATCCTGGATCCATAAGCCCGTTGACTCCTTTGTCGCCATGGCTAATCTTCAGCCTGGTTCATCAATTTTGGACCTTGGTTGTGGTGTTGCTCGGGTGGCTATAGCCGCAAGGAACGTTCTGGGCACCAGTCATGGACGAATTGTGGCTATCGACATCTCCCTTGGATGTCTACAGGAAGCCCAACGAGAGCTAGAGCGTGCCCATTTGGAGAATGAGATCACCTTGCTTCACGGCGACATCAGCGGAATGAGTGACATCGAAGGTCTCCGCTCGTTGGGAAGCGATGTCAAGCCTACTTTTGACGTCATCTTTGCTCGGAACGTTCTCAATTCCGTCCCGCCCGAGCAGCGGGCAGCTATTCTTCAGCATTGGGCTACTTACCTCACCCCCGATACTGGCCGTATGATTCTCACGCTGGGCATGGTTGCCGAAAATCCCGGCGAGGTTCTCGAGTACGAGGCCGAGATCGCTGGAATCCTTGTTGTTCATAGTATTGGACAGGTTCTATCACGTTTGAACAAGATGACCGAGGGTGACTGGATCTTTGGAGAACGAGTCTTCGAAGATTTGATCACGGCAACTGGCTTGCGGATGGGAGCAATACGAAGAGTGGGCTTTGACAGAGAAGATGGTTTTGATTGGCTTGATCAGAGATCTCAATTTGAGCAGCACACCTTACGTCGTCATGCCGAGATTCTGCAGGAAGGCCACGACGATCCCGCCTCGACGAACGCGGACGGAAGTTTCTCTCGGTTGTTCAAGGCTCAGATGAAGTCGGAAGCTGTCAAGAAAATAAAGCAGCAAGTGGCGGAAGTCACTGAGACCGAGACGCTATATGTGGTGTTGTACTTCGTAGTGTTGGCAGTGGTGGTGGTAGCTTGATGTGTGGAAGGCAGAAGCTAGATTCTTGGTTAAGCGTGATATATAGAGGCAGGTATGCTTCGGACGGTTAGACTAGAGCAGATTTCACTTAGTTGCGGTGAAAGTTTCTCTCGACTTCCATAAATATTGCTGTTTCCTGCTTAAGCTAGAAGATATAACCAAACAATCTTCACTTGCAACAACCTCAAATCAGTATGGGCCCTGCCTTTCAAATCCTCAAGAATCACAATACTGAGGTCACCATCGGAGTTGATAGTTCACTTGATTGAAATCCTGCGGGGAACGAGAGATTTGCTGGAGCCATTGCGCCTAGAGCCATCGCCTTGTACCACGGCGACGCGACTGATCTGGATCCTATCAGCGATCTGGCAGATTAGGGACCGCCTACGTTCGATACCGCCTTTACTCGAGACGTCCTCTCTACTCTTACTGATAGCGACAGGCCAACTGCTTTCAAGAACTGGGTCAATTTGCAGACTCCTGAGACAGGCCGCATGGTGGTAACGTTTATGCTGGGCTTTTAGTAGTCAATGAAGCAGGCAGGGCCCAGGCTGCCTTCCACTGTTTGACTCGCCAGGAATGGATTCGGGGAGAGCAAGCTTTCAGCTATGTCGTGTCTATAGTAGGTTTGAGCTTGGATCGGGTACTGCGTGTAGGGTTTGATGGACCAGACGCTTATTCGTGGGTTAAGCTTGGAGACACCATAGACTAACATGCACAGCATCGGTTTGAGGAGCTTCCCGACAGCAAGCAATCGAAGCATAGATGGACCGACGGGAATGGAGATCGCACCTCTCAGTTCAAGATGGACGTGGGCGAATATAATAGCTGATAGCCCCACCACTGAATCTACATACATTCTACATTATCACCGTTATACCTCGCTGAGAGGTTATAAGCCTAGATTAATGCCGATGATAGATATCGCATCAAATCTCACTATCGTCCCCTTTATTGGGCCTAACGAACCACAAACTTGTAAGATCCATTCCATTCATTTCGAACAGAAGGAAGGATTTACAAAGACAACAGATTTACAACAAGGCCGTTAGGGGAGGATTTTTTCAACAGGATATCAGAAGCCAGTGTTAGAAGCCAGTACCAGAAGCCAGTGCCAGAGATACCCGATGCCTGTGTCCGATGCCCGTACCAGAAGCCAATACATCCCAAACGAAGTCAATCACTCGATATACCCTACAACAAGCCGCCCATCAAGCCCTACACGGTAGGCACCCACATCACTTCAAAACAACTACTCACCTACCCCAAAGAACGGGGCGAATTACATTTTCATACCCCAAACTATGCGATCCTTACAAATTCATACCCCATCTTACATTTTCATACCCCAACGGGGTATGAATTTGTAAGATGCCATTAATAGGGGTATGAAAATGTAAGTTGCCATCTAAAGGGGTATGATTTTGTAAGTTGCCATAGTGGCCTGGAATTGCTACCTAAGGGCCTACTTTCGAAATTTTGCAGAGGCTTTAAACCATCAAGGAGAGGATCCGCGATCTGGCCCGTTGGACCGTAGAAGTAAGGGAATCTCTCCGACCGCATCTAATGAAAATTTTAACAGCTCCAAGACATCAGACGGAAGCCGAGTGGGCTAACTCGAGGGCCAAACGCAAGCACCGGGCAAATTACCGAATCATACCCCGAAAGTACGAATCCTTACCGAATCATACCCCTAATTACCTCATACCTACACCAAATCACACCCAAATATGGGGTATGATTCGGTAATTTGCCATTGCTTGGGGTATGATTCGATAAGTTATCAAAATGGCCTCAAACTACGAAGGAGATAATCCGCGATCTGGCCTATCTGACTATAGAAGTAAAGGATTTTCTCCAACTGTATTTGATAAGAATTCTATCAGTCTGAAAACATCAGATGAAAGTCGAGTGGGGGCAATTTCGACTGCTCGAAGGCCAAATCACACCCTGCGCTTTAAGGTTTACGGGGTTCATATTAGCAGCGACCCCCACGGGGGCCCTGCGAAGGCCCTGCGAAGGCCCTGCGAAGGCCCTACGGGGGCAAATAATTAGGTCCAAATAAGGGTGTTCTGGCTGTTAAGCGTAGACACTATTATTAGCAACTCAGCTAAAAAGGCTGGTCCCGGGGGTGTCTACGCTTAACTGTCAGAACACCCCTATTTGGACCTAAATATTTGCCCCCGGAGGGCCTTCGCAGGGCCGCTACTAACAGTTCACTACCCCGAAAACGCTTCCGGGGCCCTCTTAAATACCCAGGTTATCCTACACTTTATGCTGCAGACACCCCTATTTAGGCCTCCGTAGGGGCCCTAAAGGAATAATTTCTAATAGGCACCTAGCTGTATCTACAAGTAGGCCACTCAAGTAGACCACTGTAGCAAGTACGAATCCTTACCAAATCATACCCCGAGCAATGGCAAATTACCGAATCATACCCCATGGGCAAATTACAAATTCATACCCCAAACTATGCGATCCTTACAAATTCATACCCCATCTTACATTTTCATACCCCTCACCAAAAAAATGGGGTATGAATTTGTAAGTTGCCACTACTTGGGGTATGAAAATGTAAGTTGCCATTTCTTGGGGTATGAAAATGTAAGATGCCACCAACTTGTAGATGTAGCCGTCCCTGTGCCCTGGAAGTGTAAAGTGTACCAGAGGACGTAGTGGTGGTCAAAGACGACGGGCTTCTGTCACCTTAGTTAGTGATATGCCAAAGAGAGGTAGAGGACGGGGGTCTTGAACGATAGCGGTAGCTGCCTGGCAGATGGCGGTCGGTAGGCTCCACTGAGCGTCAGATAGTGGTCGTCGACTCCGCTGTCGATGACGGTGGTGTGGTGTGGTGTTGTGGGGTGGGGTGCTTGCGTTTGGCCCTCGAGTTGGCCCACTCGGCTTCCGTCTGATGTCTTGGAGCTGTTAAAATTTTCATTAGATGCGGTCGGAGAGATTCCCTTACTTCTATGGTCCAACGGGCCAGATCGCGGATCCTCTCCTTGATGGTTCAAAGCCTCTGCAAAATTTCGAAAGTAGGCCCTTAGGTAGCAATTCCAGGCCGGGCGAATTACTAATTCATACCCCAAAAGTATGGATCCTTACCGAATCATACCCCCACACCACCAAATATGGGGTATGATTTGGTAATTTGCCATTGCTTGGGGTATAATTTGATGAGGATCTTAAATGATAGCTTTCTGATATACGGTAAGAGGGTTTAATGAAGTTAATGGTAGCGGTAGGCTTACTGAGCGTCTGGTAGTAGTCGTCGACTTGATTATTGATAACGGTGGTGTTTACGCTACGTAACGGGGCGGGGTTCGAGGCGGGATTCGGGGCGAGGTTTAACCCCCTAAGCTTACCCCGCCCCGTTGCGTAGCGTAGTAGGAATTATTCCTTCGGGGCCTTACGGGGCCTACGGCACCCGAATAGGGGTGTCTGCAGCGTGAAGTGCGGACACCCCCGGGCTCGAAATTTCGCTCACTCGACTTTCGTCTGATGTTTTTAGGCTGATAGAATTTGTTAGAATATCAGGTATGTGATGTGTAGGACCTCTCCGGGGCCAAGTCCTAAATACAGTACAAAATCAGGTGGCTGATCAACACGGTGGCTGGGAAGCGTGGGAGCCAAATTCGACATGCCTCTGCATCAAATTTCGACAGAGTTCTCATCAAATGCGGTCGGAGAAACTCCCTTATTTCTATGATCGAATAAGCCAGATCGCGGATTATCTCCTTCGTAGTTTGAGGCCACTTTGACAACTTACCAAATCATACCCCAAGCAATGGCAAATTACCGAATCATACCCCATATTTGGGTGTGATTTGGTGTAGGGGTATGATTCGGTAAGGATTCGTACTTTCGGGGTATGATTCGGTAATTTGCCCATTCCAGGCCACTATGGCAACTTACAAAATCATACCCCTGTAGATGGCAACTTACATTTTCATACCCCTATTAATGGCATCTTACAAATTCATACCCCGTTGGGGTATGAAAATGTAAGATGAGGTATGAATTTGTAAGGATCGTATAGTTTGGGGTATGAAAATGTAATTCGCCCCATACCCCATATTTGGGTGAAATTTGGTGTAGGGGTATGATTCAGTAATTAGGGGTATTGATTGATTGATTGATTAACATCATACTACCCTGAAGTCTTGCCTTGATGGCCGACTATGCGAGACGCGTAACTAATCTATCTAACCGTTTTTGGACTAGCCGAAAGCTGAAAGGGGGTCCCCTACAATCGCAGAGCCCCTGACTCAAGTGCCGTATCCTTCTTTTTGACCCGTAACCCTCATGTGTATGTGTGTGCTTGTAGACTGAATGAAGGACTCCACTGAGCCCGGGAGTCCCGTAGAAAACAATATCCAAATCCCAACTCTTTTGTCAGTAATTAGGGGTATGATTCGGTAAGGATCCATACTTTCGGGATATGAATTAGTAATTCGCCCCGCAAGCACCCCACCCCACAATATCACACCACACCACCGTCATCGACAGCGGAGTCGACGATCACTACCTGACGCTCAGTGAAGCCTACCGACCGCCATCTGCCAGGCAGCTACCGCTATCGTTCAAGACCCCCGTCCTCTACCTCTCTTTGGCATATCACTAACTAAGGTGACAGAAGCCCGTCGTCTTTGACCACCACTACGTCCTCTGATACACTTTACACTTCCAAGGCACAGAGACGACTACATCTACAAGTTGGTGGCATCTTACATTTTCATACCCCAAGAAATGGCAACTTACATTTTCATACCCCAAGTAGTGGCAACTTACAAATTCATACCCCATTTTTTTGGTGAGGGGTATGAAAATGTAAGATGGGGTATGAATTTGTAAGGATCGCATAGTTTGGGGTATGAATTTGTAATTTGCCCCCAAAGAACGACCCCACAAAGAACAAGTACACGAGGATACCTAGGACGGTCTGAACGATTCGGAGGATCCTGAACGGATGTCATTGGACTGGGGGAGTCAAGGAGGAGTGTGAACACCAAAAAAAAACAGAGCACTAGAATGATACATGATTTTGGCGTTGGAATAGAGCTATTTGGATGTCACTAGACAGGGGGAGTGTCAGCGTGTCTAGTTCCTTCTATGCATGCGTCCTTCCTACATCCTTCCATGCAATTCCATCATTGTTCCTTTCATGTAGTTAGCCATAGATAGCAGTGCTTTGTTCTCCGCTACATAATAGCTGATGGCCCCACCACTGAATCTACATGCATTCTACATCATCACCGTTGTGCCTCGCTGAGAACCTACCCCAAGACGGGCCTGACGCAAGATCTCTTGTGCGACCCGTCAAGGTCCGATGACGACGACAGCACCGGTGCTGTGGTACACATGCGGGACTATCTCGTCCGCATCGGTCACGAGTACTGCGTCTGGCAGCCGCTGGGGCCGGCGAGGGCAAGCAAAGACGGAACGATAATGGGCTTGATGGAGCTTCGCAACGTCATGGATGGGAAGCTGGGGGCGATTCTGGGCAGCGAGCTGGTCGACGGGCCTGGTAATCGTATGGGAACACGCTAAGTGTAGCGTGTTCCCATACGATTATCAAGAGACGCGTGATGGTGAGGGGGAAGTGGGCGCCTGAGAGTGCGATATTAGCGTGTGCAGAAAACGTTGGAATACTTGGCACTGAGAAAATCACACACACACCACCAAAAGTAGTACTGAATAGATGAATCTTCTCTCATATCGCATTCTACCACCTTCCTCATTATATTTGAAGCTCCTGTATATCTCGCTTAGTCGATCCTTGGTGTTTTGCCTTAGTGTTTCGAAATGCCTCCTAATCGACGCAGTCAGAGGTCCCTCCCCCCCACTACCGACCTCCCCTCCAACCAAACAGTCCAAAAGGCCTAAGAAGGCGTTCTCCCGTACCCAAGCGATTGCTAAGAATAGCCAGCCGGGCCCTAGCAACAGTCAGCCAAGCGTAGCTACCCCCGCTCCCAGACCTGAAAATTTTTATGCTAAAGCCGGTCGACAAGTTACTACCTCACTGCGGTGTCTTCCCAGCCCATCGTAGTGTTATTATCATAAATAATGCCAGTATAGACTGTAATCCTCGTATCGAGGAGATAATCTGTTAGCATGGTTGCGAGATCCGATATCTGTCTCCCTACTCACCAGATTTTAATCTTATCGAGCTCCCTTTTAGCGTCTTGAAGGTATGGGTTCGAAGATACTTTTATGAGGTATGGCCTCAGTTCCAAGGGAACTTTGGTGACTTCTTACGATATGCCGTGAGGAGTCGGTGCGATTGCTTTCCGAGGGAGCATTCCAAGCATAGTGCTATGGGAGGCTATATCTTTAAGGCGAACATAAAAAAGTTCAATAGGGCTCTTAATGAGTGCGATATTTAGATAGATTTTGAAGACTAAACTATATTTGCTGCTGCTGCTACTGCCCCAGAGTTATTTGAGACTTAAATACCTTTAAGTCTGTCTTAAAGCCTCTGACTAAAGCATCAGGAACCCCCAATTATATAGCAACACGATACATAGTAGAGGAAGGTGGTAGAATGCGATATAGGAGAAGATTCATCTATTCAGTACTACTTTTGATAGTGTGTGTGTGATTTTCTCAGTGCCAAGTATTCCAACGTTTTCTTATTGAAAATGGTATGAAGGATTGATTGATTAAGTAGCTATGAGGGTGCTGAGAGGGCTACTTATACCCCTATTTGCCACCATGCGAGGTAGCTACAACACTGGTGCCGCAGCAAATCTCAACATTTCTGCACACGCTAATAAGCGACACTCGCTCTGATAATTATTTTCTTACACTTCCCCAATTGTGAGATTCCTATGAAACGTTATATTTCTCCGAGGAAAGAAGCACGAAGAGAAGATCGTCGAATCAGAAAACGGACTCAAACTGACTACGATCTCTAAACCCAGCCGTTCGAACAAGTCATCGCCAGTCTAGCCGCAATGCTGGGGCGCGAGTGCGACAGGATAGAGCTAGTCAAAAATAGACACATAGGACCAGGCGTGGTGTGGTTGATCAATTCCTCGTTGGAATCGGATGAGGAAGCTTTACGGACATGATGATGATGATTATGAAGATGATGATAAAGAGGGCTAATTACCGAATCATACCCCGAAACTATAAATCCTTACCGAATCATACCCCTAATTACTGAATCATACCCCTACACCAAAATTTGGGGTATAATTCGATAAGAATTAATTGCTTGGGGTATAATTCGGTAATTTACCAAACTTGCCATAGTGGCCTACTTAAATAGCCTACTTGTAGATGCAGCTAGGTGCCTACTCTCTAGGTGTCTATACCTGTGTAGGCTATTGGGAGTAAAGAGTGTGTGTGAGAGTCACAGACTGGGTGTAGATAGGCTGGGGGGCCAAATTTAGCCCACTGTTGGGCGGGCAGCCCCCACGGGAACCCTGCGACGGTCCTACGGGGGCCCTGGCTATCAAGCGCAGACACCCCCGGGACCAGGCTTTTTAGCTGCGGGGGTGTCTGCGCTTAACAGCCAGACACCCCTATTTGGACCTAAATAGGGCCCCCGTGGGGGCTGCTGCTAACACCCACTCGGCTTTCATTTAAGCTGGTAGGTCACCCATTGAATACGGTCGGAGATATTTCCTTTTTTCTATGGTCGGATGGCCCAGATCGCGAATTTTCTCCTTTGCGATTTTTATCATGAATGGCAAATTACCGAATCATACCCCAAGTAATGGCAAATTACTGAATCATACCCCTAGGGGTATGATTCGGTAATTGGAAAGCTTGCTTTCTCCCTGGCTCAAGAATAAAATCACTTCTGTGCCAAGCCTCGCTGTGAGATTATTCTGGGAAACTCTTATCTTATTAGGAAGTAACTAAGGATTTAGTAGATCTTGGCTAAGAACATCAATTTCTTCTCTGATTTTCTCCCTGCCGACTTTCTCCCGCAGCCCCAAGAACATCAATTTCTTCTCTGATCTTCTCCAATCCTCAGAGACTTTTGTCCCCGACCCTCGCTCTCTCACTAAGAACATCAATTTCTTCTCTGATCTTCTCCAATCCTCTCTCAAATATTATCTCGTATCCCTAAGATGTCTCAATCAATTCTTGACTTTGGCCTCGCATCCTCTGCAGCTCGACGTACTGCAAATCGGCATTAAAAGAATCATCAAAAACAAAATACCGAGCGCGCTCTCTCACAGTTACACTCTCAAAATCAGCTACGATCTCAGAGAAAAGCTCAAAGTCGATAACAACGTCGATTACCTTCGTGCGATATCGCATTACAATCTCAACCTCAGCCTGCGATACCTCAAAATCTTCCCCAAACTACTCTCGAAGGCATCAATTCTATGCGTATTATCGAGACGCAAATGGATATCTTCAAGCCCGGTACTCCAGACCCCGATATCAAACGCCCTACATTCGATGTTTACAATACACATCTACGGAAAAATCAAGGTCTCGGCGCTCTGAAACGCGCTTACGGAAAAGCCGAAATAAGTCGTTTTCATCTTCAACGAGAGGTTGCCGAGGATTTATATAATAATCTCGTACATTGGATACGTCTTCAAGAAGAGCGATTCTTACAAGGGCCTATTAGTACCGAATTACAAGACGCCTTAGATTACGTATTTCATATTGTGGAAGATCAGTGCATAGCGGCCGCTCAGCCTCAAATTAAGGATCAACTTGACTCCGAGACTTTGTTATGTACGGCGATTCGGCATGGAGATCTTAAGGCTATTTATAAGCAACTTCGGTTTATAATTGATAATCGTTGTAAGGAATTTCTTCAGGGGGATTATAGTTATGATCTTGACGAAGCGGACGACCCTATACCGATCTCAAAATGGGCTTTATGTAAATAATTTCGAGCTTGCGAGGACGGCCCCTCCGGCAGGAGCCCCCGGAGGGCCCTCGGAGAGCCCTCGGAGAGCCCCCGGAGGGTAGGGGGGTTTAGGGGGTCTCCCCTTAATAGAATTGGTATTATGCAGTAGTAATCTTCTCAGTCTTCTCAGTCTTCTCAGTCTTCTCAGTCTTCTCAGTCTTCTCACATCCTCGGCAAGTTTTCCACTACTGGGTAGCCCCGCGCCCCAGCACATATTTAGGGGTATAATTCGGTAAGGATTCATAGTTTCGGGGTATGAATTAGTAATTAGCCCTGATAAAGATGATGATGATGATGAACGAGAGGTTGGATTGATTCTATTCTACATAGATACAAAAAGCAGAGGCACTGACTGCATTGCATGTATGTATCATTGGAGGCAAAACTCCACAACGGTCCCGATCACATCCGTGCTATCTATCCTCTCATATCCGCATCAAGCACCAGCAATGCATTCCGCTCTGAAACCTTCGCTTGATAAAATGTAGCCTTCCTGAACATTCGACCCTCGACTTCTACAACCCAGTCTCGAGCCTTGTCCAAAGACGTGCCTGAAACGAAGACTACCGGAACGGTGGCGTATCTGGATGCAGCCACGATGCTGTTATTCTCTGATTACTCGGCCAAACAGTGACACCGTTGAACGAGAAGAACTCACCTTGCTCCGGCGCAAAACATCCACATCCGCTTCGCTCCCCTCAAACCAGACAACAACATGGAAAAGACACCGATGAAAACAAGCACGTTGGAAACCCGACGCGCGCGCGAGCAAACGACCTCAACGTCAGCCAATCAACCGACCTACCTACACCGCCGCCAGCATTTAATCTTCTTCGACGCTGCAACCCTCGCCTCGCCTCCAGCTCCGTCCAACACGCACAAACCTGCAAAGCGCGTGAGCCCCAGCCCAAACGGATCTGATCGCCGATCCGGGGCGCCATTGGCCCAAAGCGGCTTTTCCGACACCGACTGCAAATACACTGTAAAAGGGTTGCACATGTTGTAGGAAGATAGATCCGTACTAGTACGTGCATGAGCTACCGAAACGCATCTACCGTTGAAAGCTATACTGAGGGCAGTGGTTATCGTTCTCGGAGTGCCATCCATCTCAGCTGGATCATCGTCCGACGGCTGCGATTGTGGCGGGTTTGGTGCATGTGATGGAGTGTTATGGTTTTGGGGCTGTGGGTTTTACGTACTGCTGACTGCTGCTCCAACGGGGTAAACGAGGCGCTATCGGCGCGGCTTGCTTCAACTATTTTGACGGCGTAGATCAGAGCAGTTTTCAAATCCGCGTCTTTGTGGTGAGCTTTGGGAAGTGAAGGGAAGGGCATATGGGCTGTGTCGGGGCGAGGTGGGTATGGCATCCGTTTGCGTGGCAGTGTTTAGCTGGAGGCGCTTCGATGTGTAAGCGTGCAACTACCACACGGCTGTTGTAAAGCCAACCAGATATTTGAGATTTTGGACATGTGTTTTGTGACAGTGATGTTCGTTGATGATGCTGGAAGAAGTCGACAAAATGAAGAAGAAGAAAAGACCCCAAAGTCATCGTCGAAACGAGCGAGGAGCATAAGGAATATCGTCCAGAGTACTAGGGCTCAGCTTCCGGATTCAATAACCCGGAAAGGCAGTGCCGGTTCATGTACTAAGGCTTATGCACCATCGATCGAACCAATAGCGCACTGTACTTATCCGTGAACCGTCGAGACTCCTGCTCCGAACGTTTTATCCAAACGCAACCCGGCCTCCCTAATCTCCAATGCTCCACCTCTCCATGCCGATTCCAGCCACGAGAAGCCAGCGCCGTCCATTCGCATCGCGATAAGCTGCTAGGGAACTGGCGTCTGCGATGGAGGTGTAAACATTCGCCATCCGACAGATTGTGATACCCTCCGCTCCCACTTGCGTCGTGTCGATCCCGATCTCTCATTGCCCACGTTCGCGAGTATGAAGCCCTCCGGATTTTCACCTTGCCTGTCAGAAGTGGGCTTGCCGATGAAAACCGCACTTGCGTGAGCGCCGGGGATGAGTAGACTAGCAGCCTCAAATACCACCTCAGACGGGCTATGGATCCCCACACGGGTAAAAGCTACGGCGCCATCATCACCGCCCGTCACGATGAGTGTCTCTGACTCCGATATGGTCACAGAGTCCAGTGCCTTCACGCTGCTTTGGTGGATTCCAGTCCGCGTACTCCAGTGCAATGGAGGACTTCTTGGCAGATCCTCACTGTGCCATGACAGAGGGTTTGCATGCGGCCAAAGAGCCGGATGTCCGTCTGTGCTGGCGGTACAAAGCCCGTTCAGGGTTTCGCCGATGTGTAGGTAGGCGGCTTGGGTGAGGCAGTATGTCGTGTAAGACCCTTCAGTCAGGAGCTCGAAGCTTTCCCGGCCCGTATGATAGCGAAACAGTCGTATCGAGGAATCTGAGTATACCTTACTTAAGAGGTAATCAGGCTCGTATGGAACATCGTCCGGGTCATGAGTCGAATGGATCTCCTCTGTCGCAAAATTCATGATTCGCAAATCCACTTCCTCGGTCACGGTTGGACACTGAGCCTCGCAGACGATACCGAATGTAACGAACGGCGCTGATTGCAATCGCCACACTAAGAACTCTTCACACCCAGCTGCGCTGAAGAGAAGTTGACCATTCGAAGACCACCGCAGTTGCTGGATGCCTGTTGTGTGCTTAGTGACGATGCTCAAGCACTTGAGCCTCGCATTAAGATCGAATATACGAATGGCCGTATCCTCTGCGCCTGTCGCAACGAACCGAAGATCAACATCGTCGCCCGTTTTGATTGCCGGTGATAGAGCCATAGCTTTGATCTCTCTTCCATGTCCTCCATGCTGGATGACTTGATGAGAAGCTTGCGTCTGCGAAAGTACATGACAAATCGAAGCTTTTGTGTACACAAAATTACCACCACCACTACCGTCATTTCGGTGTGCATACGCGTAATTTCTGTGAGCGCCTCCACAATCCACCGTCATGACCTCCGTTTTCTGTGACTCATTCCACACGATAAATTGCTTGCTCCGAAACCCCCAAAGCAGAAGATCCTTACTCGTCGGATCGACGCACGCTCCCTCAATATTTGGGCCGAATGGGGGCATACCTACGTGTATGGTCTGGAGGGTCACACAGAGCTTGCTATCTTGGAGTTTGTGAAAGACGTGATGGATTGCCCATTTGCCGTCTTGACCGGCGGTTAATATAGCGATTCTGCCGGTCAGCTTTGAGACGTCGCGGGGCACGATTTGGATCAGAGTGATGGCGTCTTCGCCATGGATTCTTTGGAAGCAGTCGGGGGTGACATCAACTGCCGAATTCGGTGTGGTGTGTGTCAGGTCGTATATCGCTATATCTCCGTTGCGGGAGCCTAGGATGATCCAATCTTCGGTATCGAGGAAGCAAGAACTTGTCACTATGAACTTTGGTTGCAGAAAATATCGTCTGTAGGCGGTCTCTCGGCGAAATTGGCTCTACCATCCAGTTTTCCAGAAGGATAGGCTGACATAAGACTGTCAAGATTTCGTGTGAGCTTCCAAGAGCCTTTGAGAGAGTCAAAAAAAGTTTCTGTTATGGATTTTGCTTTGCCTGCTTGTGTTGGACTCGGTTCACTCGATGTGGTCTGGAAGGTCTTCGAAACCTCATCCATCGTATACTGGCTCGTCCAAGCACCCGTCCGCGTAGGCATTCCATGCAGAAGGGGCTTGTACGCTGTGATACATCCGTCAGCTCCGCCAGTAGCAACAATACACTCTATACCAGATTCTCGGAAGACTGCCATTGCCCATACGTTCTTGCCCGAGTGAGATGAGTGTGTAGTCTGATGGCTCAATCAATAAATATGATTGTGAGGCGTCCAACTTGATCGGCCAATATCAAGAACAGGACTCACACGCCAGATTTGTGCAGTGCTGTCTTCTCCGTAGGAGATCAAGTCCCAACATCCGTCTTTCTGAATCAGGAAACGCAAGCCCCAGATCCGGGAAGCGTGGCCCATTATCATAGCCAGGCATCCAGTCGAGTCAACTTCATTGGTTTCGTCTAGTAAGCCAGCTTCGGAGTTGTTCAGTCCTCCATCTGACAACGGTTTCACCTTTTCACTGCTGCTTGTGTCCGATATGTCCCATGTCTTGATGGTCCTATCATCGCTGCAGCTGGCCAAGATACGTTTCACAGCACCAGTCTGCGCCACCTCTGATATCCTGAATCCAAAGACCGACCCCTCATGTCCAGTAAATCTATAGTGCAACTTGATTTCCCGAGATACAGAGGGATCAGAAGTAAACGACCAGAGCAAGACCTCTCCGAATACCGTACCCGCAGCGACGAGAAGGCGCGGGCCAGCATCCGCCAAAAGCATGTGCGCGGAGTACAGAATCGAATTGGGTCCTGAAGCGATACGGTAGAGCGAGCGGGTTTCTCTCGTTTCTGCGGATTTTTCAACGAATTTTAGACATAGTAAATCATTGTGTGCGGTCACGAGGATGGCTTCGACAGTGTTCTTTCCAGATCCGCTGTCGGTAATATTAGGGTGTCGGAAACAGGCATCGAGGATCCAATCATCCCAGAGGACTTCCGGCATGTGTTGATGAACTTTGACCAAGGGTTTCCCATTTATATTAAGATCTGCTTCGATGGAGATAAGACAGATGGATCGCCCACCCCAGATGAGGCAGGTTCCATTATGTCCGGCATCTTCCGGCAAGGATCTGCAGACAATGCCATAAATTGCCTGTGAGTCAAATATTTGCTCCGTACGAATGAACGTTCCTCTTTTATAGTCGAAGACTTTGAGAAATTGGCCCTCGCCAGCAAGTAAATAGGGTTTGGAGGTACTGAGTGCTAGGAAAGCCAATGCAGTGACGGGATTGAGGGCGCTCTCGACCTTTGGCACGGTAATTTCATCCATAAATGCCACATTGAGTTGAACAAGCGGAAATGAAGACGTCAGCCATTCCCTGACTGCATTGTGGTGCGAAGGAGAGATTGAGAGGTGAGACGCAAGCCGGGTTGAGGCTAGGCGGGATTTAGCTTAGAAACAGATAAATGGGGGGCTAAGGAACATGCCAAGACTTCAGTATAGCTTCATTTTTTTCATTTGGGACCTGTACTAACGATAGCAGTGTTATTGAATGATTTTGCGGAGAGATATCTATGCTACAGTACGATTTTGAGTGTGTGGTTGTGAAAGATCTCCGGTGCCAAGCATTCCAGACGTTTTCGGTGCAATTCCGGCGCACAACATCCACATGGTGACTGAAATAAGCAAAAAAATTCGATGCAAGGCTCGACTGCAATTTTGTAAGACAAAGCCCACAAAATGGAGTTTGGGGTTAGGACTGACACTTGCGACCTTCTCCGACTCAAGTGGGTAGTGTAAAGGAGACATAATAACAAACCACAATCTTACTGTTTTGACTTATATTGTTCATGGTTTTCCGGCGACACGTTTCTTAGGTATTCTTCATGGACTATAACAGCACTTGCAGGAGTTTGATTTGTTTTGCTAATCATTGATGATGCCGCTAATTCGTAGACCACAAGCGAAATGCTACAAGGCGGATTGGAGTATCTATGCTAGTATGAATGAACACGCTGGTCGAAAGCTCGAAGCAATATATGCCCTTCCACAGCAAAGCATGAGTCTGTATGTCACATCTCCTCCGAGCTCTATGCTATGAAGCTACAAGTTCCATCTCATGATATCGATCTTCTTCAGCTGAACACCACTACTTGCAGCTTCGTAGACTTTCTCGGCATCTGCTGGCTCCGCCCGGTTGGCTTTGGCAAAGCTGTTGCCGTTACCCTGCCGAATCGAAGTGTTAGCTCTGACGAAGCTTCCATATAGTGAACTCTCATCGTCCCACCATTTAGACGGCGTACCTTCGTCCTGCTTTTCGACCGCCGCACTAGTATGAGGTGGAGAAAAGGGACTCGTGGTGCTCATACTCGAGGTCTCAACAACGCCTCTCACCACCTCGAGGTCTGACCTCAATATCTTCCGATCTTGACTCGGGTGATCGGCGTCTCGCCAAGCGTTATCCCGAACGCGAGTATCTATGGCATCCATTATTCGATTGCGCGCCTCACGAACATTGACTTTGCTCGCAATTTCGGCCAGCAGCTCGACCATGGTCTGTAAAAAATACCTGCCCACGAAAGTATTCCAGCCCTAGCAACTCATAGGCCCTGATCCTCCAATTGGACTGAATCACTCTGTGGCAGGTGTTTAGCAAACCTTGGTTCTGCTTCGCGTCCTCGGGGGTCGACTTTGCCAAGAGTGGTAAGCGGGCGTTGCTGAATCCTTCGACGTGGACCTCTCGCAGTTCTGAAGCAGGGAGTCGTTCCGGAGAGTTGGTTGCGGTTGCGTTCGGTGAGCTCTGATGGACACCATGATCAGACTCTTTCCACGGTAGAGATCGCCGATTGCTCTTGGTAGTGCTTTGGGTCGAGATCGTGGCGGGTACAAGCGGTGATCGAATTGATTGTGGAAGTGGAGGCTTATACGAGCCTCGCGTTGTAGGAGGAGTATAGGGCACCTGTTGTAGGCTGCCGGAGCTATCTCGACGATTCTGCAACGGTCGTGGCGCACCAAATACACCGTTGACTAGATGTGGAACACTCGATTGGGGCAGTATTTCTCTTTGCTTTGTCCTCTTAGCCTGCTCGTCTGGCGGATCGTCCGCTGTGAGATCAATAATGACCCGCGATTCGGACGGCTTCCGCTGAGTGTCACCAGAGCGCGCCGGCTTCGGTGCGGATTTGGTTCCTACCAGCTCCAGTGGCCTATCATCGTTGGCAGGTGCATATTCATAATGCATCTTCTCAATAGCGGGGTCTGTCTCGGAAGTGAAAATATGCTCCACCAGCTCAACGCGAAGCTCATCTTCCTTCGTAGGCTCGACGTGCACCCTATCAGCACTAGGCTTCCGTGCGACGATAGCGAGTGCTTCATCTAGGCTTCGTCGATTGATGACACGGTTTTGATACTGAGGCGCCTCAATTTCAGTTTGGTAGAATTCTTCGTAAGGTACGGCATCCTCTGCTTCTTCGGCACATCGTCGAAGGTACTGGGCATATTCGAGCTTGTGCCTGACGATGAAGTCATCCCACAGAGATTGATGCTCCATTCGATTGGCTTTCACGAGCCGGCTGATTTTTCTGCATATAGCCGCGAAATGATTGATGTCTCCAGGGTAGGAGGGATACATTGCTTTGAAAATATCGAAAATGTTATGAGGTGCGGAATATCCCTGCTTAGTGATTTGAATCGGCAGCTGTTCTGCGCTCTGGTGCTCTTCGACTGATTTCACTTCGAGATCTGACATAGGGGTGCTTAGTGGGAGAACAGGTTCAACGGCCGCAGGAGAAAGATGTGGTTGAATATCTCTATCAGACTCAGCGGCGAAGACCGGGACGGCAATAGATAGAGACGTGGTTTGTTTCATGGGCTCGTCCATGTGAGCAATGAATTTCAAGGGCGTGATGTCATGATTGACCGAGACGTCATGCATGGGACTGCTTGTGTCTACTTCTTCAAACGGTTGATGCGATGCGCGCTCCGTTGCAATCTCATCAGGCATTGGTATGTCTGCGTCCACTGTGGCTGGTTGCTGTTGAGATGTAGGCTCCGGTGTAGTTTTTCCAGACACCTGAGTGTCTGCATTGTCTCTGAACGATGTTTGTTGATATAGGGACTCTAGCGTGACGGTGTCGGGCTCAGCGACTTGATCTAATCTTACTTCTGGTGTCGGCGCATTGCTTTCCTGCTCGGCGATTTCGTCTGCCCGAGGATGTAAATCTTTGAGGGCTGTGTCTGATTTTGAGTCCACCGGCCGAGCGTCCTCACCAGTGTTCACCAGTTGACCATGGCTCGCAACCGTCAGGTCGATCTCTGACTCGACATTCTGATCTGCGCCATCATTTGCGTTCGCAAGGCTATTCTCGGTCTTCTGGTCCGGCGACTGAAAGGATACATCAAGCTCGACAGACTGAGCTCGCTGCGCTTCATCAGTAGAGACGTAGAAGCTTGCCTCCATCACCAGGCTCTGCTCTGCGTCAGGACCTTCGATGTCTGTATTCTGCGCAACGGACATGGGAGAGTCTGTTTCGGGATCAAAGGATGGATTCTCTTGCGCACCAGGCTTTGTACCAAGGCCATCTGGTTCTATAGATGTGGTACCATTCGGAAGCGGTGCAGCATCCTTCATTTCTTGCATTGGAGATCTTGCCGACAATTCTTCGAACTCGATCTTCTTCTGGCGCTCAATCTCAGTATCAATCGACTGGTTGTGTACAGTCACATTCCCAACGTTCTTTTCGACTTCTGCATTGCGCCGGTCAGCCCGGATCGATTCCGTGAGTGCGGTGAGGTTTATGTTTGGACTCTTTGTAGAAGTACTGGTCTCGCTACTTCTTCTGGAAGCCAAGAACCCCGGACGGACTGGCCGGGATCGCTCTAGTGGATCTTCTGACGTGGCCCCCGGAAAAGTGATGAAAGACACTGTGGGGCTCATCGTAGGAGTGCTGCTCTCGCTACTTCTCCTGGAAGCCAAGAAGTCCTGACGGTATTGAGGCGATAGGGGCCATTGTCCTGAGGATACAGGTATATCTGATTCCGAGTCGGCTGTTAGGTCAATTACCGCACCCGGGGTCATTGAACCGTTTTCTTGATTCCGTCTCTTTGTTGGCCGTTGAGCACGGAGGTCCGCTTTCCGATTCAGCTTCTTGAGTAAAGAGATTGGTATGTTTGCTGTGGGCTCGCGCTGACCAGGCTCTGCTGGCAGCCAAGCTAAACGATTGGTCAGATTTACTGTATGAGAATCAAGATTACCTGGAATCACTTACAGTCCGCACGGTTCAACAAAGCCTCTTGGTCTTTCGGGATTTTCACGTCTCTGCTCCTGATTCGATTTTGACCGGTGTTTTGACCGGAGACCGAGGTTGTAAGTTTTGAAATGGAACGATCTGAGAGGTCCAATGGGGCGTTAGGGTACGAATCTGCAGTTTTTGATATCGAGGAGCTGGCTGACCGACTATGGAGTGCGTGGATGGAGGCTTCGGTTACAGCTGCCCTAGATCCCGCCTTCGTGTCCAGGTCACAATCTACACCCAAGCTCCCACAGTCTTGGTCGATCCCATGTACTCTATGACTATCGGCTGCTTTCTTTCTTGGGGTCTTGTCCGGGGACTGTCTCTTTCTTTTCTGGGTTTCAATGGGAGCTCTGGTAACATTATCATCACCGGGAGCGAGAGTGATATCTCGAGAAGCTGTGTTCTCTTCCTCAACGACAGCGGGTCCGATTGAGGCCGCAGTGTACCCTAGGGAATACACAGTTGTTGGCTGCGGGATAACCTCTGGTACCGGTAGAGTACGCTTATGATGTTGGAGTAGGCCTAAGAGAGCTTTGGTGCTATTAACACTTGGTCTCTGAGGGGTCGCCTGCACTTGACGGGGACTCAAAGAAGTCGCTAAAAAACTCCCGTATTTTCTCTTTGTTGGTGGAGGTAATGACTTGACACTGTTTGCACTGGAGATAGAGCCTATGTTGATACCGGTAGTTGGATCTGATGGCTTGGGCTTGCTAACAACAGACGCGTTAGAGCGAGGTGCCTGAGTTGCAAAGCCTATCTGGCTACCCTGATTCTCCCCTGCGTCGGAGGTCTGTGTGCAGGGCTGAGACCTGATTGGTGACGCAGCGGCTGACTGGTGGGAGTGTGCGTCCGGTCCGTGTCTTCGCAAGTCTGCTAGCTTGTTCAAAAGCTCCTTTGTCCCCTCCCTGCTCTCAATAGCCTGAGGGGCGACCCCAAAGTTACCAGATCCGTCCGAGCCAATGACCTTGAACTCTTTGACATAGAGCGTAAGCCTTTTATCTCTTGGACCAAGATGTGTTGCGACAATCTCGAAGTCGTGCAGTTGTATGAGGCCTCCAACGGTTCCCTCTGTAAGATTTCTTTTGTTCTTCTTAGCGTATCTTCGAGACGCCTGATTGGTGATGGAAGCATTGACACGTATAACGCTGTCAGAAAGTGTGACTTGTATAGGCTCGTCGAAGGTCAAGAACTACACTCGCAGGGTTAGTAAGATATAGCAATAAAGGATATTTGCTAACCTTAGTGATCTGAACAACGAGTCCCTTTTTTGTAGATGTTATCCTCAGATTACTGGCATCATCATACGATAGCCCTCGGGGCTGCCCAATCGATGGATGTTTGTTTGCGCCTTCCTCCTCATGACGTAAAGCCTCACCCAGCTCTCCCTCTATAGTGGCCGCCAGCCATGGCTCTAGAACGTCCATACTCCTTTCCGTGCCACCATACGTGGTTTATACAGTGGTTCGCAAGTCAGTGGCATGGTCTAGCAAGCAGCGGAGTCGACGAGACTCCTTCAGCTGTGGTGACCCAGTCTTGAAAGCCGTAGATATGATGAGGAAAGCTTCAGTTCAGTTGGGGCTGGTCTCTGTAGAACGCGACCGAGGTGTGTAGAGAACGTGTAGAGGTATCGGTGAGGCGATCTGAGTACTGTTGTACATTACTTTATGAATATAGGCGAGCGGTTGAGATTCCGCTGCGTGCCAAGCCTTTTTTCCGGGCCGAAACGTCATTCCCTTCCCCTAGAGGCCTTTTCTGAGACTATTTTTTTGGACTTTTTCTCTTTCCTGCCATCAGACGAAAGCAATTTTCATTTGGAAAACACATTATTCTTCTACTTACACCATTGCCATTCAGCCACTACCAATGGCCCCCAAGCGTCCTCGCAAGCCTACCGCAAAGTCCATGGCTGCCGTCAGGCTGCCGTCACCAGACCACCACCTCCACAAGAACCGCCCACTGAACCCATGGGAGGGCCCTCTGATGGACCCTTACCCCCCCCCTTATTCTCGCTATGCCTCCTGTTCACCAGCCAGGTCCTCCAGTAGGACCACCCACCCCGTCAGAACCGGTCCTTAATCCCTACACCGTTCAGTTGCAATTCGCCCGTCAGGAACTCGAACCGGAACAGGCCGACGAAAACCATATGCTTCGGGACCGTGACGAACTCGCCCGCATACAAAACGAGGTCAATGAGATCCGTACCCGTCGCCAGTCGGCTGCCCCTACCATACACCAGCCGGTACCCCAAGCCCCCATGCCACCGGCCCATCAGCCGTTCCTATTCGCTCCACCTCCCCAGCCGTCACCTGTACCTCTCCAGGCCCCACAACCAACTTTGGCCCTGCCGCAGCAGAGAACGCCAACACCGTCTGAGACGGAAGCAGTGCCACGTCGCTCCTTCTTACATCAAGGTAATGACCCCATGATAGCTCCCCTTCTTCTTCGTTTCAAAGCGGTGGACCTGAAATACATCAAACAAATCTACCATGGGACGTTCGATGTCAAACACCTCAACAAACTATCCCATAGCTTCATTAACCGCCTCGCTGGCGGCGATGAGGAGACCAAGGGACTTAAAGAGCTTCTTCGATGCTTCGAGGTCTATAGCCAGATCATATGTTTCTTTACCCATAAAACAGTCGCCCTACCCCTTCAAAAAGCCCTATCGGACTACCGCTACTACATTTCCGACCTATCAACTACCTATACCTTCCAATCGGTACGCCATTTCCACGAGATCTTCGTCTATGGTAGGATTCAGCTTTGTCAAAACGATGCCCATGCATAGCGAACACCCGACAATCACTTAGAAAATCGAATCCTGAGACAGCGACCCCCGCCGACCCAACCGGGAGCCTACCCACCATACAATTCACGCCTAAGTTAGGCTTTACCCCAGGCATATCGTGATATTACTCCCACACCTTCTCACCAAAATATCTAAAACCCTTAATCGTTCTACTGCAATCGGTTCAATCGCAATAAACCCTGCAACGCTCGGGGCTATCGCTACCTACACATGTGTAACGTATATGGCCAATCACATCCTGCCACCAGCTGCACCAACGGAACCTCCGCCAACACCACCCCGCTGGGTGCAAGGCCCCCTCCCACCCCTCGGCCATAACTAATACCGAGGGGCCTTGAGTCGATAGCCGAGTCATTCCCGTACATGCTTATCTCGCTAAATAAGCCTCTACTAAAGAGACGTAGCCTACTAAAGGAAGACGGCTGGAAGAAATGGCTCAAGGATCACCCCGACCAGGTATTCGCTAATACCTTACTCGCAATCATCGCCCGCGGCGTCAAAATAGGCTATCAAGGCCCCAGTCAGTTACTGTTAAGTAAACCCCACCCAAGTACCGCTGCAGCACCCGAAATACTATCCAAAGACCTTCAAAAGCAGGAGGATAACGGCCGCCTAACAAGGCTAGACATGAAACCCTCGAAACACTTCATTTCGTCCCCATTAGGCCTTATCCCGAAGCATAACGGCGGCTGGAGAAGGATTCACGATCTTTCCTTCCCACGGCTACACTCCGTCAACCACTACATTCACGAGGCCTACGGAGCACTCGAGTACACCATACTAGACGATGCTATCGATACCCTACTCGCCCAGGGCGAGGGTGCAATCATAATCAAACGAGACCTCGCCGACGCATTTAGACACATCCCCATAGCCGAATCGGACTTTTGGCTACTGGGTTTCTTTTGGGATGGCTTCTACTACATTAATAGATTCTTACCATTCGGCCTACGCACCGCACCCTTCATTTTCGATCTATTCGCTAAGACCCTTCATTGGGTACTCGTTGCCGTCCTATTCTAGAGCATCGTTTTCCACTACCTAGACGACTTCTTCGCTATCCTTCCGCCTAACGGCGACGCAGCCCAATTTAGCGAGGACTTTAATACCGTCTGCGATGACTGTGGCCTAAAGGTGAATCACACCAAGGATGAGGAAGGTACTCTGGTCGAATTTTTGGGAATTCAGTTCGATAGCGAGAAGATGAAGGTCAGGCTCCCTCCCGACAAGCTGGAAAGGGCGAGAAAGTCGGTAAAAGCCCTCCTAAATAGACGGAGCATCCCCCATGACGAGCTTGAGTCAGCGGTAGGTCTGCTATCCTTCTCCGCCAAAGTGATAGTCCCTAATAGGGCTTTTCTGAGAAGGCTCTACTCCGCACTATCCAAAAAACGAGGATATTACCATATCACCGCCGCAATCGCAGCGGACCTACGCTGGTGGGACACCTTCCTATCCAGGTGGAACGGGATACGACTACTCCGCCGCACAGCCGCACGCCGTCACTATTCCATATAGACAGACGCTTCTAGTAAGCATGGAATGGGAGGGTATATCCTCGAGGATATCGCCACTCATCCTGAACTAGACGATACGTTTAGTATGCACTTCGCTACCCGCTACCGCAAGAAGGACATCCAATTCAAAGAGATGCTTACCGTCCTTATGGCCATCCGCAGATGGCTACCCCGCTTACACCAATCACACCTTACGCTCTACTATAATAACGGCGCCGTCGTCGAGGGTATCCGTAGCAGTTCTATGCGTGGGCCGGCCATAACACCGCTCAGGCAAATAGTCATGCTATTCGCTCGATCCGATATCGTTTGCAATGTGATTTGGATTCCTACCAAGTGGAATACTTTAGCCGACTTACTCTCTCGCTTCAAATTTAATAGAATTACTAACTTACATCCACAGCTGAGCGCTCTCAGCCTACGCAGGAGTCATTAAGCCGCGATCCACCTAAATCATGATACAAAGAGACTCCTCTAAACCGCAATGCCGCGAGATACCTCTAATAAGGTCTAGCCAATAAGACGAGAAGTAGCTATCAAACGGCGAAGGCCTCCTACACCGAGTTTTATACCCTATCGAGGACTACCGCGTTTCCCGCTACCATTCAGTCACTTACCGGCTGGATAGCACGTCTAGCCGACCGTCACGTTCAGGTTAAATCCATCAAGGCCTATCTTATAGGCGTCCGGTCAGCCCATGTGAACATGGGATTCGAGGACCTCGAGGTCTTCCACCACCCACTATTGCAGCGGGTGATCGCCGGTATTCGCAGACTACGTGGCGAGGCCGATACCAAAGAACGCCGTCCAATCACACGAGACCTACTGCTCCACATCCTTACTCAGTTCGATAAAACTTCCCTAGAGGGAGCCACCTTACATGCTTCCTTTTGCCTCGCATTTACGACATTCCTTCGTGTGGGCGAATTCACATGGTCCCAAGCTGAATCCGAGGATAGCGACTTCGGACGATGGCATATCACAAGACGTTCGATTACGCTACATAGCCACCATATGGAGCTGTCGCTACCGTCCTCGAAGACGGATCCATTCAGAAAAGGGATCACCCTATCAATTGCCGCTGCAAATAATGACGCCTACCCTATTCGTTCGCTACGAAACTTGTTCACTCGCTTCCCTACCAGTGGGTCATCGCCGCTATTCAATCCGGGCAAGGCCTTTACAAGATAGTACGTCACCGCTACACTACGTAGCACTCTACACACACTCGGTTACCCGGGTCACTACTCAGGACACTCTTTCCGCAGGGGGGCCGCTACCTCCGCGAAGGACGCCGGCCTAACCGACGATAAGATTCAACTACTTGGCCGTTGGAAGTCTGACTCATACCGCTTGTACATCGAAACACACCCGGCCTACATCCTCGCCGCATCACGTCGCCTCCAGCGTCCTTATACAGCTCAGAGCTGACAGGTTCCCGTCAGATGTGGGCTATCTGTTTTAGGAGTTTTCCTAGGGCTGAGCTGCATAGTGGACCGCTATCTACGTGCTACTGGGCCTTAGGACCCAGCCAATCATCATTTAGAACTCATTTGTGCGTGTAGTTTTCATGGGACGTTACGCGAGACAGCACTAGTCGCCACAGCTTGACTAGGGGCTAGTGAGGGAGAGGCACAGCACACTTATAACAGGATAGCCGAGATTGCCATATTAAAAGAGCCTTAAATAGGCCGTGTCCCCTCGTGCGGCCGACCTTTTAATCACGCACCAATCAGAAGAATCTTATCTAAATTCGTGCTGGGGCGCGGGCTTCCCAGTAGTGAAAAGCTTGCCGAGTACTGGTTTTTGACATATTTGATTCTCAGGGAGATCCCCTAAAACCCCTCGGACCCTTCGGGGGCTCTTTAAGGGCTCTCCGAGAGCTTGTATCGGAGGGGCTGTCAAAGCAAGCTCGAAATCAATCAAATATCACTAAAACAATCAAATTTCGAGCTTGCTTTGACAGCCCCTCCGATACTCTATAAGCTCTCGGAGAGCCCTTAAAGAGCTCCGAAGGGTTTAAGGGATTTTAAGAGATCTAACCCTGAGAATCGAGAGAGACGTTGTAATTTATTTGATATACTCAGAGGGAGACCGCCTGAAACCCCCCTAACCCTCCGAGAGCTCTTCGAGGGTTCTTCGAGGGCTTCTGCCAGAGAGGCTCTTCTCGCAAGCTCGATAATTCAAGTAAAAATCTTAGTTTTTAGTATATCTTTACGGATACTTTATCAAATTTCGTCTATACTACACTATTTGAAAGCGCATAGTTAACTCTATAACTCTACGTACTTAGTTTATTATTATATTTTTGATAAAAGAAAAGGAATCAAAAAAGGTAGATTTGAGGATTTTGAAGTTCTTTTCCAGCTTCCTCTTTTAAACGTACCCGTGTATACCCGCTTTTAAATCGAAAATAAAGAAATAAGGTGTGTTTTAGACTGAAAATGGTGAAATCCGATGATCTGATTGGTCACTAGCCTCTTAGCGTAGCACCCATTCTCGTTTTCAAGTCTTGAGTATTGAGAAAGCAAGCTTTCCAATCATCGTTTCAATCAATAGAATAGATTGGATTTGGTCTTTTCTTGGCACACTCTCCGCACCTACGCATGCAACTATTCATGAATTATATGGGCGAATTACTAATTCATACCCGAAAACTGTGAATCCTTATCGAATCATACCCCTAATTACTGAATCATACCTCTACAATCAAATCACACTTAAATATGGGGTATGATTCGGTAATTTGCCATTGCTTGAGGTATGATTTGATGATGGTCTTAAATAATAGCTTTCTGATATAAGAGGGTTTAATGAAGATAATGGTAGCGGTAGGCTTACTGAACGTCTGATTGTAGTCGTCGACTTGATTATTGATGACGGTGGTATTTACGCTGCGTAACGGGGCGGGGTTCGGGGCGGGGTTTGACCCCCGAAGCTTACCCCGCCCCGTTGCGCAGCGTAGTAGAAATTATTCCTTCGGGGGCCCTACGGGACCCGAATAGGGGTGTCTGCAGCGTGAAGTGCGGACACCCCCGGGCTCGAAATTTCGCCCACTCGGCTTTCGTCTGATGTTTTAGGCTAATAGATTCTCATCAAATGCGATCGGAGAAACTCCCTTATTTCTATGATCGAATAAGCCAGATCGCGGATTATCTCCTTCGTAGTTTGAGGCTACTTTGACAACTTATCGAATCATACTCTAAGCAATAACAAATTACCGAATCATACCCCATATTTGAGTGTGATTTGGTTATAGGGGTATGATTCAGTAATTAGAGATATGATTCGATAAGGATTTATACTTTCGAGGTATGATTCGGTAATTTGCTCTGAATTATATATATTATGACTATCTTAGCGAAGGGCTATAAGTTACGCTAACCGTACCTTAATTAAATTAATAAGATTTATCGTCTTTTAACGATAGCTTTATAATGCAATTATAATTTCGAAAGAAATTAAATACGTTATATATTTTTGATAGTGCTTTTTTTAAAATAATAGCAAATTGATTTCTCTTAATAAGCGTATTAAATTTTAATACGTTAAATCGGAGGATCTAATTTATTACGATAGTAATTATAAATTAATAGAATAACGATATTTATATAAATATCTTAGTAATAATAGATTTATATAAACTACTTAATATAGTTAAATAAACTCTTCTCCAGCTTAAGTAAATTTAATCGAGTGGTAAAAATTTATAGAGTAACGTAGTCTCGTAATTCGAATCAATAACGAATGCATCTTTTATTTAAAATTAATTAATTTTATAAATATTCTATTCTTAATAGACCTTAACTAATATTGCAGTCCTAATTTTTTTATTCTTTTCGAAATAGTTTTTAATTTTATAACGGTTTCTCGGTTCCAGAACGGTGTCGTAACTATTACGAGCGTATTCTATATCCTTAACACACCACTTAGCCCTCTCACCCATTCGGGCCTAGCGTATCTTGATAGAGGCATCCATCTACTACTTAATATCTTTCTTCTACCTACATAGTTCGATACCTTAGTTATCTTATTCAAAATACCTATATTAATATTATATCTATATCGATTCTAATAGTAACGATATCGCAACGATATCATAACGATTTTAATCTATAAAACGTATTTAAAATATTATAGTTGTTTCAACTCGATACGATTTTTTATTAATACGTACAAAGAGATATAACCGTTAATTATTTAGTTCGTTTTTTATTCTTTATTATTTAAAGGCGGAGATGGTCTACTAATACGTCTTAATAAAACAACCGTAAATTTACCGTACATATACAGTAAAAGAAGGCCGCTGCTGCTCGCTAAGGTATTATTTAGAGATAATAGCTTTAATTCGTCTATACTCGTGCTGTTTAGAAGTGAGTTCTTTGATAGAGCGAGGATATTAATAGATTAACCGATATTCGGCTAAGTGAAAGAATTTATTAATATCCTCGCTCTATCAAAGAACTCACTTCTGAACAGCACGAGTATATAATCCGATTCTGTCCTCTTAACAGTACTAACCTCTTTTAGACTATTCAAATAATTTCCCTACCTCCCATCGTCGCCCTCAACTTACACAGCCATTATTTCGTGAAAATCGTCGTTCCCAGCTCGATTCTTGATACTTGTAAAGATGTTACGAGTAGTACTGGCCTTGATATCTATTTTTCGCTCTATATCCTCGTATTTCTCTTGATAAAAAACTCTCATAGTGACGATATAAGCCCGTAGGCCCATGTATATCGCGCGTATCTCGCCGGCGCCCTTAATTTCTATTAGATATGACTATTATAGGTATAACTTCAAAAATAATCATTTATTTACATATAAACAATAATCTACGGCGAGAGATAATGTCAAGAAAATATAGAATCTAGGTCTTCTGATTGGTGGAATGATTAGTTATAAGACTGGTTTATCTGATTAATACGTAATTAAAAGGTCGGCCGTACGAGTATTGATAGCACCCGAGTGACGGAAAAGTCTGAACACTAGTCACTAACTAAATGGAGATTACGGTCTTCCCTTACCAATCTTCTATACATAGATATCATATTTCTCCATTAATAGCCTGTTACTTGTCCACCACCGTCGAGAGTAGCCTGGATCCTTCCAGGCATACTGATTACACGTTCATTTACGAAAATTTGGGTATGAAAATGTATGTGATGCGGCCGTTCATCTTCTAGCTTGATTAAGGTTAGTATTTAGGCTTTTCTATTACCCGGGTAATAGCTACTATCAAATCCTAGATTTTAACATATGTTTTTTAATATTGTTTTGCTATGTTGCAACTCCCATACATTCTTGTACTATAGAGCATCATCTACCCAACAATATCAACAAAATTTAACTTATGGAAGACGAGATACGACGGTAGAGCTGAGATAGGAGAGTGGTAGCTATGTCTTTTCGGAAAAGGTGTCCACAGTCCTGCAGACGGGGTGTTCAGAAGGCATATCGTTGTTCAAATACTACTCTTACCTAGCGCAGTTGGATGCTACAATCAGAAGCTATTAAGACCTAATAGATCCACGGAATCCATAAGAGTACGGAGTATGAGTATCACCGATGAGCTCATCCTCCATGGTTCTCACAATGCAACCCTGGTCGGCGGAAAATATACCACTGCTATCTCGCCGGCTGATGTCACCGTCTTCTTCGTTCTCAACATCTTCTTCTACGTCTTCTTCATTCTCACTGGTGTCCTCTGGGTTCTCTAGGCGTACCGAAGGCACCATGCTGACCAGAGGAGCCTTTTGGCCCCGCACCCTTTCTCCACCATCCCCTGATGCAGTAGGCTGCCTTTCAAAGTTCGAGTACGACAGACGCATATGAGCGAGCAGCTCTGCCGTGTATAAGCCCACACTTGGCCTGATTGGGCTGCATTGTCACGTATCTCGTAGCTCTGTTGTTGGAACCCCGTCCATTGTTGATGAGCACCTATAAATATCGTTTGCTACTCGGATGCAATCGACGCAAGACATCACGAGTGCCTTGGTCAATTTGGACCCATGGAAGCTCCGCGGGGTTTCTTTGTTTCATGTAAAGACGAGAGGGAGAATGTTGGCACTGCTCCGCCAACGCCAATGGGCATTGAGGCTGCTTCGATTTGCGGCGAGACCAACGGCTATCATGTACACTGGCCAGCGTATCGTACAGTGCGCAAAGGCATCAAGCAGTTATACTATTAAATTGGAATTTGGCTGATGATTCTTTCTAGGCTCGGGCGGAATGTTGCGAGTTCTGGCAAGCTAGAAAAGTGCTTGAATAAACATTGTGCACCAGATTACTGGATTCGCTCGTTTGACTCATCCTGCTGTCGGGCGAAAGTCAAAGGCCGATTACAGCTAGGGACTGAAGGGATTTGGGGTAGGTATAGATCGGGCGTAAGGTATGAAATCTCATCCAGCTCGGTGGTTTTCCGATCTCGAGCCGCCCAGGCGCAAGTCGATCACGTGACTGTTCCTCGCGCCGTCGCGAGAAACAGGTCTTGGCAACATGCATGCATGGTGAATATGCCCCCGAGACACTATTTCGTTGTCTTACTTTACTCTAAAGCTGCATAAGTCCCGTTGCCTAATGCCATGATTTTTGTCCAGCCCGGCGGCGGTGTCAGAAGAGTGATCATTCTTCTTCTACGTTCTTTTTCAACGTTCAACTATCCACCATTCACCAAGCCAAGTCCTCACTCTTCCAGCCAGCCACCGGCTCTTTTGTCTTCCTTCCTCTTCCTGTCCAGCATCGATCGAAATATGGGTTGGCAAGAGAGACCCAGCGACAAAGACAGCTAGCGGTGGTTGCAGCAAGCCAGGTAGCTGAAGAGAAGGAAAGCGCTGCTGCGGACGCGTTCATTGGGGCTATACGAGGCGGAGAGGCTGGGCAGAAGGAGGCTGCTGGTACTGTGGTAGACTGGAAGAGTGCTTCGTCGGCTTGCGAGTACTGCCACCGTCGCAAGTCCGTAGAGGCGTGAAAAGCTGATTAGCATCGCGCTTAGAACAAGCAAGAGGCAGTGTCACTTATCAGACGCTACGATAGAGAAGGCTCCGACATCTAGCTTCGAATAAATTCCTATTCGTGTATGCCATCTCTCAAAGAACGGCTTCAATACGGCCACCGGTCCCGGATTTGCAGATCGTTATAACCATAGACGTTGGTCAGAATTCTGGCTGGCTTGCGGTGGACAACCTAATTATCGTTCAGTCAAAGCCTGGTACCTCTTTTGTCTTCGAATTCTTAATAAAGTTGCTAACCTTTGTTCCTAGAACTACTGCGCGTTTCGCCTAGAGGCACTGAACATTCCGTCCAAAATCCCAGTCACTTGATCCCAAAGCCTGTCGATCCTAAGTCTGTTTTTACTTGCTTGACACCATGATTAATCCATCGACGGGACTTGAAGCGGACATCGTCAATGCTACCATTATGCCTTTCCTAGATCTAGCCCGACTTCAGCCCGGATTGTCTGTCTTGGATTTGGGCTGCGGCAGCTGTGAAGTGGCCGTAAGGGTAAAGATTTTCTTAGGCGGCAGCCATGGGTTGATTGTTGGGATCCTTGAATCCCACGACACGATGCAGCAGGCTCGGTGTTCGCTGAAAACGTTTGGATACGCGAATGCTATTACTCTCTACCACGGCGATCCTATACATCTGAACAACATTCCTGGCTTTGATCGCACCTCTTCAGATTCAAATCGCCCCTTTTTTGATGTCATCTTCGCACGAAACCTTCTCTCTAATGTGTCACCCTTTGAGAGGGAGGAAGTGCTCCGGCATTGGGCTAACTATAAGGCCCCAGGCTCAGGCCGTCTGATGGTGTCTATGTCAATGGAGGTTCATGGTTCATTCGAAATCGCTAGGTCTGTCATTGTTGACGAGGACGGGGGGATCACGTCGAGGTATCATTGTATGATTGAGAGCGAATGGGAACACGGTGAGGAAGCATTTCGAACCCTGGCGCTAAGTGCAGGTCTACACCTGAGTCAAGTGCAACGGGTTGGTTTCAGTGCTGAAGACTCTGAACAATGGGAAGAGATTGGTGCTGACCTAGATGACATGCTCAGCTTAAGCACTCAGAGCTTCGAGGACAGGGGCGGCTACGATCTTATGAGTCAAATGCAGATGGAAGTTTCTCAAGGCTATTCAAAGCAGACTTCAGGGAACAGGCTGTGCAGGAAATGCGGGATCGGTTGGAAGTCTCGGAGAGGGTGGACAGGATGGGACTGTGTTTAGTCCCATATGTAGCAGTGTTAGTGGGGACGGTGTTGTAGTTTGAGCTGGCAATAGCTGGGGGCGAAGTCAGAACCCATAGCGAGTCCTACAATATAAGCATTTGCTAAGACTCTGCCGTAGATTTACCAGAATACAATAGTGATAGAATTCAACCATGATAGGGCGAGTAATCTCCTTTTGGCCCATTCCGACTACCAAAATACCGATTGAGCCAGGGATTCTCATAATAAGAAACTTACTAGCACCAGCAAATACATAAGGTAGTCTCTGAAGCTTCACAGCTCCATCGCCCCTCCACGCAAAGTTTTGGTGTATGCATCCTCTATGTCACTTGCTTGCATAGCTTCGAAGCGTAGCTTAAAGACATCGCCATTACAATAATAGCTTAGCACCTTATTGCCACGACCTGTGTCCGGTCCACCGCTCCTGAATTCCCAGAGCTCTCGCGATCATTTCCATCTCCAGGATGCATATCCTTTCCCTTTTTGACCAGTCAATCCGGGCATTGAACGCCATCGTCCTTCCCGTTCCCTGGTGTAAAACGCGGTAGCTCTTTCCCAAAGATCATGTCAAAGGCAGCAAACTCGAACTCGAACGAACAGCCGTGTTGATGATAATAGATTATTGCCTTTGAGGTGTATTGTCCCTCGAAAGACAGTAGTTCACTGCTCGGGAGCCCGGGAGTTATGGTCTCAACGCGCCGGTTGTCCGTTCAGGCTCGAAATCTATGTAAGCCATTCCCATACTGGATAGTGTGAAGACTACCGAAACAAAGGTCGTTTTTCTTGCGACGTCTATCAAGGAGATATACTGACATTGCGTTGGTGAGAATAAGCCGTACGGTACATGCCAATCATCTTATGGTCCGGTGTTCTTCCAAAGCATACGGATTCGCTAGAGCTCTATATACTTCAGAAAGCATCGCAGACATAACGCAATGCTCTGGATGCCGCACATCCATGAATGCCCCTCTCCTGTGTGTAGCAGGCCTGCCTATAAACGAAGCTATCAAACTCGTTGATCTTTCTCGTTGGAAGACAGAACAGCTGCTTCGCTTTCAGATCTGAAACTCGTGCTATTAGGGTCTGCTCATCTTCTTTCCACAGAGCCGGTTGAGCTTAGTGCAGGGTACCTTCATTTCAGCACGCTGGGTTATCAGAGCATCGAAGTTGTCTTGGGCGAGAGCCGAATCTTTCTCATGGCGATCCTGGGTATTTGGGGTGGAAAGGTGGGTAAGGGTTTCAGGGTAGGAATCATATGAAGTTCGGCGTCAGCTATGGCGGTGGATGAAGAGACGGGGAGATGGTCTTTGGCCTTGAAGCAAAGGGTTCTGTGGTTTCCAGAGATTTCTAGCAAGTGCGGGAAGACACCGACTCGAGGAACTAAATAGCACTGACGATATCTGTTAAGCTGCTTGTACTGGATAAAGCAAAGTCCGTCTGGGTTTGAAGAATCATACTGGAATTTTTAATTAGCGTATTCAAAAACATCTGGAATGCTTGGCACCGGAGATCTTTCACACCACACACCCAAATTCGTACTGCACGTCCCCGTCTGGTGCCAGTCGGAAGGTGCTTCCTGCGGGGTCGTTCTTTCTAGTCCATATATAGTATAGCTCGCTTGGCTGGATCCTTGAGGAATCCTTCGGATCCTTCCTCCATAGAATCTACATCCTCTTCTACCCACACGATACCTGGTCATCCTTGTTCTTTGGAGGTCCTGCCCGGATTTCTTGTGGCCCTGAAGTAGGATCGTCTTTCCTTACTATCATTCTTGCGTGTCTTTAGAATCTTCATTTGGCCTGTCCGGCTGTAATCATTCGTTATTCGTTTTTCCACTGAATCTCTCACTGAAAACCTCACTACGAAAGAACTTTTTTGAGTCATTCAGTCCAGGAAGCCTCTTTCATCTACAAAACCACTTCTCGAGACTCGAGAACCCTTTAGCAAGTACCTCAAGAAGTTGCTGTCACCCAACTCGATTTCCAGGTCATCGCCGTCACTTACCAGGAATCTCTTACTACACGGAAGCAAGGAAGTCATAGCACCATCATTCTGGCGAGCACCAGGAATCTCCTTGAGGAATTGGCCTACCATTACCGTCTTGACGCCCCAGACTTCTCGAGAATTCCTCTCGGTAATAGTCCTACGAATTCCACAGTCTCGTCGTCAGAATCTTACCGGAGCACGCCTTCTTCATATCAGTCTGAAGCTCCCGTACAGCCTAGCACTCTTCCTATCAATACTACAAAAGCAATCATGCCTCGCCCTACGTTTGCTACATGTGGTAACTTCTCGGGAACCACTGGCATGTCAGCATCAAAGTGGCTCCGAAAGTTCGACTTCGACATGGAGGATTACCAAGATGAAGAAGGTCGTTTCCCCCCAGCCAAGTATCTGGGATATCTTGACATGCTTCTTGTCGACGATGCTTCCGAGTGGTCAGAAAGTCATCCAGAAGCTGTCCGACTTCTTACCGAAGCAGAGCACTCCGGTTCCCAGCAAACAATCCAGCAGTTCCGGGCCATATTCTGCGAGAAGTTTCCCTCGAAAGCTGTGGAAGTAAGTGCGATCCCGTTCGATGTCGAGATTGCAGACCTACATCAACGTCCCGAAGAATCCCTTGCTTCATACTTCAAGCGTGTCACCAACTTGATGCAGAGAGTTGGGATCAAGGATAGGCCCGCTGCTACTCCCAGTGCTGCCTTCAGCCTTCTTGAATCTACCATGCTCGACACCATTCTCCGTGCATTCATCAGAGGATTGAATGATCAAGAGATTCGAAAGGAAGCAACGAGAGGCATGGCATCGTCTGACAGATCTCTACACATGGTCTACAATCTCGCAGAAGAAGCACGGCGTACCAACGCCGAAATCCAGAAGCTCTTGGATGAAGAATCGAGATCCGACCAGCTCCAGTTCTACAAATCTCTCGTGGAACGAAACTTGCCGAAGCAACAGGTGGCTTCCTTGCTTGCTTCTCATCAAGCTGCCAAAGCTCCGAGGCCCTCACATTATCAGTCTTGGTCCTTCCATGCGGATCCACCGGAGCAGCTGCCAGAGGCTTCCGCGGGACCTCAACGTTTCACGCAATCCCAACCCCCAGAGTATCGTCGTTCTTCACATGAAGTTCCGGCTCCTGCTCCGGCTCCGGCTCCGATCTTAGGTCAGAATCCCAACAAAGGAAACGCTGGCAGGAGCGGACCCCCGAATCCCATAGCTGGCAGTCGCTTCCGTAACTATCAGCCTACCCCAAAAGATATACCCGAGCGTAGCACTTCGAAAAACCCTTACATCAATGGCACAATCCACTGGTCTTACGGGAAAGACGGTTAGCTATGCATCAAGTGTGGTACCAAGGGTCACATTTCTCCTCATTGTGAGGGTGCCTCACTACCTGCTTGGGAACAGTCGTACCTGAGAATGCTTGTTTTCGGGGACAATCCACAGTCAAACTTTGCTTCCGTTGGGTTCGGGGAGTTTGATGGATCTTCTAGACCCTACGGGACCACCCCTTCGCCGAAGCCTTCCGCAGCTTCTTCTTCTTCTTCTTCTTCTGTTGGATCGGGTCAAGTGACGCCTTCAAGCTCCATGGATTCTTACATTTCTCCTCATTCTAATTCAGTGCAGTTCGGAGTAGTAGGGCTAAATCGATTACGCTTCGCTAACGTAAAAGCCGCTGAAGCTTTCCTCGGTAAAGGATCAGGACCTAACAAACGAGCTCACGTGGAAGAAGCACCAGCACCAGCACCAGCACCGGCATCTCAACGGCAACAAGAAAAGCAACCTGAGAGGCCTCAATCAGTACCCATTCAACCACAGCAATTCATACCACAGCAGTTTCAGATGCCTCAGCATCAGCAAAAGCAGCCTGATGCCAGCCTGAATCCCGGTGCTTCTTTCTACCCGCCGCAAGTTCCTACCCAAGCAGGTCCGCAGCAGCCTTCGGCAGCTATAGATCAAGGACCTTCTTTCCAGAACCAGCTATATCTATTCCAGACTACTTCGAAAGAAGAGCGTCCTAAACGTAAGAGTAAGAAACGAGTCGATAAGAAAGTAGAACCTCAGCCTTTAATAGACCTATTCAATGGATCAGAATATGATTCTCCCATGTCGATCCGACACATGCTTAAGAGTACCAAAGTCGACATGAGTATGATGGATCTTGTGGCATGGTCACCTGCTATGTGTAAGGAGTTGAAGCGCCTTTGCACTCGGGTTCCCAAGAAACGAACTCCGAAGCCTGCTGCGGATGCTACGCAAGCTCCTCCAGTCAGCTTCCAGCCTACTTTTGTCCAACAAATTCCACAGATGCCTGTGCTACCTCCAGGGTATCCGCAAGCCTATCAACCCATGCCAGCATTTCCTTCTATGTCTGCACCTCAAGCACCTGTATCTCAGCCTTCCCAGCAGACCTTGGGGAACCCTGCTACGTCAGTATCCGTGTTCCAGGTTGATGTTTCTGCTATGGAAGCTGAGAAGCACACACGCTTCCTGAGCTCTCTTGTGGGTGTGGATAAGGCGTTCCGCATTCCCATCATTGCAAGGAAACAGGATGGATCCGACGTCAGCCTCGAGAAATCTCATACTCAGGCGGATCAAGGTTCCGATATGAATGTGATGTCTTCTGGACTGGCACGCCTTCTAGGCCTACATCTCCACCTGCTTTCGGAGATTGGATTTAAAGGCCTTTCCATGCGTACGGCGGATTATCGTGATACCGTGCTAGAACATTGGGTGTGGCTTACGATTGGTGTGGAAGGAATCTGGAGAAACATTCGATGCTTTGTGGCTCCGGAAGTTGTGTCCGTCACGGAATCAGGGAGATCTGAATATCTCAGTCTGATCCTCGGGATTCCGTGGCTTTGGACTGTGGATGCTTTCATTTCGATCCGCCTTTCTACCATTTTCCTGGGAGACAGATCGGAAGGCGAGGAAGTCCGAAGAATCGTGGGTCCGGAAATGGTTTTCTGCAAAGATCACAATTTGTTGATGTATCCCAAGTCCGCCATGACTACCCCGAAAGCTATCAAGTGGGACATGCCAAAGGCTTCCGTTGAGGAAGTTGATTCTTCAGAATCTGATAGTTCTTCTGATTCTGGGGATGATTTGTCAGATATTGAAGAGATCAAGCGTCAGGATTTTCAGTGAATCAAGTCTGTCTTAAGCAGGACGTTAAATTGCCAGGGCTCGTAGAAGCCTGCCTCAAGGATTCAAGCCCCTTGAGTACCCCTGTCGTCACCTTCAAAGTCCTTGATTCTTTTTCTTTACCAAAGCAAGCAACCATTGTGAGCTTTCCAGGCTGGTCTGCCGGAGCCTTCAGTGCTTCGGGAACGCCAGCACCATCATTTCCACAGGTGCCTCTCAAGCAAGCATTTCCTGCTAGAAGGATGATTCGCCGAAGCCTTCCGCAGCATCCCTCACTACCAGAACTTGAAGAATGGGCTAGCAAGCTAGGATTGGGACCAGTCCTCGGACCGCTCATTACCACAGCAGAGCAGAGACTACGGGTGCTACGACTGCTGTACCAGTATAAGCATCTCAATAGGGAAGACCTGAGAGACTTGCCTTGCACGGATCTCATCACGCATCGAGTACGCATTGCACCTGGCACGAAGCCTGCTTCCTCGAAATCTCAGAAACGCTGGCCTCCTCACACGGAGTGGTGGCTGAGAAAGCTTGTTCAAGACGGTCTCGAAGGTGGTGTCTATGAACTCACTGAGCCTGCAAATGGACGCCTGTCTCAATGGAATGCACGAGCTGTTATGGTAGACAAAGTCGAGGATCCAAAACCTACTGACGAACCCCGAATGACCTTCGATTATTCACGAGTCACGGAGCTTCTTCCAGGAGCTCATCTCGAGCTAAGCTCGAAAGTTCACGATCACCTATCCAATCCACGTCATGGATGCTTGTTCTCAGCTGATTTGAAGCACGCGTATCTCACGATACCTCTGCATCCTGACGACAGGCACTACTTTGCTTTCACTATTTCAGGCATCGGTCAGGTGCAGCCTACGAGAATGCAGCAGGGATCACAGTCTGCAGGCTTTACCATGACGGAGCTAGCTTACAGAGCATTTGGTCCTATTCCTTCGGAACCTTCTTTGCTACATTCGCCGGATCCTGAGATTCCGCCGCCTCTCACGTTCTATATGGACGACTTCTTTGGTGGCTTCCATGACTTCGAGGATTTGTTTTCTTTCCTGCAGCACCACTTCTTTCCTAGAGTCGAGTGGGCTAAGTTGCTCTTGTCCTTCAAGAAACTGCGGCTATTTGCGTCATCAATCAAGGCCCTTGGCGTGACTCATGTCATTGGGGGACATGTCCACATTCTTGAAGAACGGGTTGCTAAGGTAGCCAAATGGCCTGTTCCTTCAGATCAGTCGGAGGTTCGAGGCTTCTTAGGAACTGTCGGCATCACACGTCGGTGGGTGAAGAACTTCGCGGAAATCGTAAGACCTCTTTCTAGACTTACGGGAAAGGTGGAATGGCGGTGGACTCAAGCAGAACAGCTATCCTTCGAGATCCTACGCATCAAATGTGCTACGAGAACAAGCATGTACGGCATTGACTTGAGCCGAATCGTTCACATGTACACTGATGCTTCCGGTTTTGCAGCTGGGTGTGCTATCACACAGTACCATGCCCCCACGCTGCAAGAAGCTACCCTACTAGAAGCTTCACGATCTTAGAAGCCTACCGCAACAGGAAAGGATGAGGAAGTGCCTGTCTTATACGATTCGTTCACCTTCAGTCCCACTCAAAAGAAGTACCCTACTTACAAGCGAGAACTCTGCGCCATTGTCACGTTCTGCAAGAAGTATGACTACTTATGCAAGCACCCGTATCAGCCTACTGTGGTACACACTGATCACAAGCCTCTCACGCACTTCCTCGACTCAGATCTTCACGAGGGAATTTACGGACATTGGGCTGATGGACTCCGTCGCTTGAATCTCACTATTCAGTACATACCTGGGCCTCGAAACAAAGCTGCCGACGGCTTATCGAGGACCTTGTTCGATGCTGAATGCTCAGAGAATATCACAGTCACACGAGTACGACAGAAACTGGAGAATCATGGCCCGAAATGGATCTGGAAGGACGGCAAGGGTGGATTCGATTCGTTCCTAGCAGCACTCACCAAATCGGAGCAACTTGAAGTCGTTGATAGAGGCACGCTGCATGGTGTTTCTTCTTTCTCGCTGGAGGCTGTTTCTGCTACGGAAGCTATGGAACCACCTGCGGAAGCCTTCGGCAAGATCGATGAGAATATCAAGATTTGGATTGAAGCCTTCCGCAGCAGCACCTGGTTCGGCGAAATCTACGAATTCCTTACCGTAGGATCTTCGACTCCCACTGCCACGCTGCTCCGAAAAGCTTTTGAGTACCGGGTGGTGCGACATATCCTGTGGATCTTTCGAGGAGGCGTGTACTTACCTTGCGTGCCGGAAGGAAAGGTGCTCACGGTGCTCCGGGAAGTTCATGACGAAAGCGGACACTGGGCTAAGACTGGTACCCTGGCAAGACTACGCAGCTGCTACTGGCCTGGGAAAGCTCAAGATGTCGAGAAGTACATTGCTGGGTGTCTTGAGTGTGCTAAGCATGGACCTGCTACCAGATCTCAGCCTTTACATCCTATCAAAGTCACGTACCCTTTCCAGCTCATGGGGATGGATTTCATAGGCCCACTCAAAACTACCAAAGCAGGATCTACTTTCATACTCGTGAAAGTCTGCTACATGAGCAGGTTCACGGTTCCCTTTGCCACTGTGTCTGCTAATGTGGAGAACGTTATCTGGTGTCTCAAGTTGTTCTTTGCTATGTACAGGAAGCCTCATGCCTACTACCTCGATCGCGGTCAGCATTTCTTTAATGATGAGTTGAAAGAATTCTTGAGATCCGAAGGCATTGCCGTCACATACAGCCCTTCTGGTGCTTCCAAGAGCACGGGAATGGTCGAGGTCTGCAACAAACTTCTAGAAGCGGTGCTTCGCAAGGATTCTCTTCACACCGGGTTAGAATGGGATCAGCGTCTGCCAAAGACTGGAGGTTCGGTCAATACACGAGTCATTGAGCACTTGGGAATCTCTTCTACCAGCATTCTTTTCGGACCGCTGCCGGAAGCTTCTGCCAGTATGTCTACCTTACGTGCACTTCCCGGACGTGACGTTCCTGCTTGGGTAGCTGAGCTGGAAGATCCTGCTAGCCATGCTCAAATCGTACGTCAATACCTCATTCACCGGGCGGATCTTCATGATACGGTCAGGCAACGTTCGGATCAGCAGAAGGAGGACATGGCTTCCCGGTACAACAAGGGAATCAAGCAAGTCACGCATCATGTTGGCGATCTAGTCATGTTATACCAGAAGGATACAGGAAAGCTGGAGGCCCGCTGGAGAGGTCCGTTCCGAATAAGTGGGTATGGTGGATCCCATGGAAGATCCTTCACACTTGTACAACTCAATGGCCGAAAGATCAGACACGCATTTCACGGAGATCACCTCAAGAACTTCGTTACTCGTACAGGCTACCTCCTGGATCCCGCTACCCCCCATTACCACAACAGCAAACTACCCGACGTCGCCGCTAAAAGCTTTCTTGGAAGTTCATGCTTCTTGCAGAAGGCTTCAGGACCTACACTTTCCCGAAGTCTATGCTTTCCCGGAAGTACATGCTTTCATGAAGCGGAGTTTGTGCTTTCTTAGAAGTACATGCGCTTGCGGAAGGCTTCAGGAACAGTGTTTTGTTTTGTTTTTGCTTCAGGTGCTATACTATGCTACGGCTTTGTTTACTACAGAAGCAGCTTTTAATCTTGTCCTTGTTTGTGTATAGCTTCATAGTCGCTGGGGCTCTTTCTTGTTGTTCTGTAGTAGTCGGAAGGTGCTTCCTGCGGGGTCGTTCTTTCTAGTCCATATGTAGTATAGCTTGCTTGGCTGGATCCCTAAGATCCTTCGGATTCTTCCTCCATAGAATCTACATCCTCTTCTACCCACACGATACCGTGGTCATTCTTGTTCTTTGTGCCGTCAAAAGTCATTAGTCACCGAGGTTTACCCGGCTACTGCTGGCTTCCCACCAAATATATACATTTCTATTATAATTCAGACTTAATAAGCTTAATATTATTGCCCTCTCGTAGTATTCTATATCGCTATAGTATTTCAACAATTTAGACCTAAATTTCACTAAGTTCGATTCGATGATTTCGATCTTACTTCTGTTACGAGCGTATCCTTGACACATCACTCAGCCCTCAGCCCTATGGCTAGCGGGCCTTGGCGGAGGCATCTCCTACTATATCATGCCTCCTTCCTACATACATAGTTCGGTAGCCTTATTATCCTTAATCTACCTCACTCATACTAGTATCGCACCTATACTAGTTCTAATAACTTCTTTTAAATTATCATATAAAGTTCGTATTAATCATTTCATTATCGTTAATAAACCCGTTTATTTAAAAGATTTTAAATAGTCTCGATTGGATTAAGATTAGATAATTATATAGAGTATTTTAAAGTCTTAATTTAATTATTAAATTTTAGCTATATAGCGATATTTTTAATTCTATGTCATGAGATGCCTCAGGGACACTCATAGGGCCACTAGCGTAGGCTTGGCACCGCACATATCTGCCTGCAGACCACATAGATAATCAACATCTTTTACACCACACACATATATGAGTCAAATCATAATGATTCCTTAACAATTGGTAGCAACACCTGGCCCTACTTCATAGGATATCCAGGCGTCATCAGACGTTTACGCAAAGCCCACATCAACACCTAATAGTGTGACGCTCCAAGCCGGACCTCCAACACACTCGCAGTCATCGAGTACCTTTTGACACCGTCCAAATCGATCCTTTCAATAGGCCTGTCGATATCACAATGAACTCATACGCTGCAAGACTTGCCTCATTCACGTCATGGCCACACGTATATCCAAGTGCCTCTGACGTAGCCCGTGCTGGCTTTCATCGAGAATTCGACCCTACTTTTCCATCCCCGGATCTAACGGTGTGCTCACTATGCGGTCTTGATCCTTGTGACTGGGATAGTGATAATCCATTCGATTTCCACGCTACTCGATCACCGGAGTGTCCATTCGTCCGTGCAACACAGCAGAAGAAGAAGCACCGGAATCAGAAGACTCGCCAGCAATATACGAGAAGGTCTCTACAGCCAGTCACTCAGTCAGCTACTCAGCAAGCCACTCAGTCATCCACTCAGTCAGCCACTCAGTCTGATACTCTACAAGAGGAGGAACTACAACAGGCAAATGCGGAGAATACTGCGGAGAACACGGCGGAGAACACGGCGGAGAAACCAAGCGGCAACAAGGCCACCATCGTCAAGAACACGGCTTACCTCTCCACAATCCCCCGTCAAATCGCCACTCAGCAAGCGGAGAATGACACTACAATTTGGCCTGCTATCTCTGCGTGCCTCGGCGATATCGTATTGATATGGCATATCATTGAGTTGACGATACAAGAGAAGGATCTACTGCGACGATCACAGCCAATTAGGCCACTGCAGGAGGAAGATCGGACGATACATATTTGGACGAATTGAAACCGTCCGATGTCTTGCTCCGGTACTATTCAAAAGTTTTCATTCCAGCAGGAGATTTCGTGGGATGCACACCACTAATTAGCACGGTGTCTCCACTCCTTTCCGGTTTTTCGAAAAATCATGCATGCATACTTCTTGCCATGAGGACATGGCATTTCTCTGTTTTTTGTGGGCAATTGTCATGAGATGCCTCAGGGATACTCATAGGGCCACTAGCGTAGGCTTGGCACCGCACATATCTGCCTGCAGACTACATAGATACTCAACATCTTTTACACCACACACATATATGAGTCAAATCATAATGATTCCTTAACAATATCTCTAGATACTTAATTAAGTCTTAGAAAGATTTAAAGAGATTTAAAATTAGAGGATTTAATTTAAAAGATAGATAAAAGAGTAGATTCTACGGAGGTCGGCACCAAAAGTCCTGGACATGCCAAGACAAGGGTCCAGGTAGGGCTGAGTGCTTGGCATACTTCCAAATTTCATAGATAGCATCATTATTCTTTATTTTAATGAGTATCAGTACTCTATATAATAGCGACGTAGTATATATATACGAAGTATAAATATACGAAGTATATATATAATAGCGATATTAATAGAATATATAATAGTAATAATATTAAAGTATTAATTATAGCGTAAAGAAATAGAGAAAGAGTATAAAGACTTTTAATATATAAGTCTTATTTATATAGTATAATAAATAGAAATCTTCTTACTATTCTCTATCTTAATTATCTTTTATTAATATATTTAATACTTAAAGTATTAATTATAATAATAAAACTCGAATTTAAATACTTATTAAGTTTTATTAATTATAAATAAAATATTATACTATTTAAAAAGATATATTAAGAACTTATAAGAAAGTCGAAAGATAATAACTATATTATTAAAATTACAAGTTTACTTAAAAGTTAAAAGAGGATTTAGAAGTAAATAGAGCGAATATCGAGATATATTACGGAGATAATACGTCTTAAAGATAATAACGAGTATAGAAAAGACCGTAAGAGAGGTGATGTATGATCGTATACGACTCCGCCGAGCGAGCTAATGAGTATATACGCAATTATATAAAGTATTATCGTTAAATAAATGTAACTATACAGAAAGTGCCAAGAATACCAAGAGTGCCAAGTATTTTAGCGCTGTCCAGGACTTTTGGTGCCGACCTCCGTACTACGGACCTTTAATATTGGAAATCTATCCTTAAATGTTAATGGTGATGACTTTATAAGAGCTGAAAGGTACTTAGTTAATAGGTGTGTGTGCGATTTTCTCAGTGCCAAGTGTTCCAACGTTTTCTGCACACGCTAATATCCTCTAGAACACCATCGTCGCAGTACTTGGCATGAATAAGTCCGCCAGACAACTGGTATCTTCTGTTAACCGATCTTTCTGAAGCTTATGTTGCACAGCACATTGAGTCGCAGAAGTTTGTGAAGATGTATACATTTTGTTTGGTTCATCTAGCTAATCTATCTTCTCAGCAGGACAAGGACCCTCCGGACACGAACGAGCTAGGTCGAACGAGCCATCGAGTACCTCAGAAGGCCGAAGATAACAATGTTGTCGATCATCTGCAAGAGTGGGAAACATGATTAACCTATGAGGTCGTGCTGGGGGGGAAAATTCGAACGCCGTGCATTTTCGAGGTCCACCGCAACCCTCAAGCCACTCATCGAGAGTGGAACATACCGACTGGCAACTTGATGACGCAGCTGAAGGCCACAAGCTTCTCATCTAATAAAGCCTGCTGTCGTCATTGCGCCTGGTGAGGACAAGTGATGGATGTTGCACAAGGAACACCATGCTTGTCTGACTGACTGAAAGGAGGACATTGCACAAGCTGATAGGCGCATGAGGATCCGCCAATCTCACTGGCTAGGAAAAGAAGGGTTAAAAAGAAGCAGCATCCACCAGCCACTACGTCCATTGCCAGCTCTAGCGAATGGAGACGGAGCTCAGTTGCCATGAAGGTCGTTTACGAACATGCCATCACCAACGAAATTACCATCGAAGTGACCCACGTTGAAGAGTCCAGCGGTGTCATCGTTTGTGGAGAAGTCGGGGTTGGGTATCGTCAAAGGATCCGAGATCAAAATGGCAAATGCTGACGTATCCTTAGCTGAAACCCACTCCAGCTGATGTACCAGCTGGAGTGTGGTTGGCTATGATTGCTGGGCCAGGATGTTTCAACGGGACAGGGGACATTCTGAGGATGGTGGTGACCATTGGAGAGAGGAAGACCGCCAACGCTGTTGTCGAAGGAGTTGGAAGATGCACCATAACCATTGCCGGTCTGGTAACCAGAAGCATCCGGCTGAATGATGCCATTGGACATTGCGCCATTTCCAAACGAATCGTTATCGACACCTCCGTTGTTGTCGAAGGTTCCTCCAATGAATCCACCATTCATGGCTCCGAAACCGCCAGCGCTCTGTTGGTTGAAGTTGGTGGAGATCTGGCCCAAGGTAAAGTTCCCGCCATCGCTGCTTCCGAACCCTTCGGGGTGCTCCATTGCCTGGCTCTGACCCAATCCATCATTCTCGAACATACCAGCAGAAGGATTGTTGTAGTCGTTGTTGTAGGCATCTACGAAAGTCTGACGACCTTGGTACGAATCGCCGTTGGAGGGCGTGACTTGTGGCCTATCATGGTACGAGTCTTTGTACATGCCATTGTGATCCATTGTGCCGGATGCTGGTTCCATTTGAGCTGCAGCAAGATCCTCGAAGTTCTGGTTATAAGGGGAATTGGAGAATTCGTGATCCATGTCCTGGTTGCTGAAGACGTGAGAACCGTCGACGTAACTCTCGACCCTACCGCCTACCACTTCGTCATCGCTCTCGTTATCGACCTCGCCACCGCTCATGTCGCTTGTATCCTCCTCCTTGACGGTTCCTACCATGCTTGTCTTGTAAGGAGTCGTCGGCAGAGATACTACCAAGCTCTTCTTTTTGTAGGGAGTCTTCTTCCCAGTCTTGGGATGGCTAACGTAGTCATCCTCGAGAGCTAGCCAAGGGGCGCCAGCGGCGACAATCTCCTCCTTGGTATCATCTTCGACATCGCTGTAGTCGTTGATAGGCTTTCCGTCGATGTCAGTTGTTCCGGACGCGGAAAGATCGCGAGAAAAGGACTTGAAGCTCTGACGCTTGCGCTTGCGCTTGAGAGCTTTGAAAGGAGTATCCTCCTCTTCGTCACAATTCTTCGTCTTTTTCATACGACTCTTCATCATACGACGCATTGGGCCGTTGATGTCAGTTGTTCCGTACGCGGAAAGATCGCGAGAAAAGGACTTGGAGCTCTGATGCTTGTGCTTGAGAGCTCTGAAAGGAGTATCCTCCTCTTCGTCACAATTCTCCGTCTTTATCATACGACGCATTGGGCCCTTAGCATCAAATTTGGCACGCTTAGCACGAGGCTTTCCGTATTCCTCGTCCGAGTCTTCGTTGTTCCAAGAACCCTCTTCCTCCTCGGATTCATCGGAGCCTGGAGCGGCTTCCTTTTCTGCCCTTTTCGGCTTCGCAGGAGTAGACTTGGTTAAATTTGGAGTGGGTTGTGCGTTGCCATTCTTGGTAGGAGTAGCCTTCGCCTTCGAGCCACTTGAGGCAGAGGTCGAGATTAGGGAGGTGGGACACAGAGGCATTGAGTGACCATGCGGATGCGAAGCTCGGCCAAGTGGTGTATCACAGCACCTCCGGTGCGCCCTTCTCCCATCATGCTGGCAATCTCGGTCCATGGTACGGCGAAGCCTACAAGGTTGCATTGGTACTACATGGCCAAGAGCAGCTTCTTGTCCGACTCATCTGCGATGGTGTCAGCAAGGAGTCATGCAGGACGGGAAATTATGATGAACTGAGAGAGACGGAGCAAAGAGGGAGAGTTGCACGATGTTGGACTAGCAAAGTCTTCGCAGCAATGATGCGCTCTGCTTTAAGAGGGTGTTGAGATGGAGACACATCAAAAGTTTTGTGGCAGCCCAAAAGTCCCAGTGGGAATCACTGGACGACACCGAAGAAGAAATGCATCTCGAACAAAAGTACTCCATGGAATGAGGGACGAGCTCACTAGGCACAATCCTTTGTGTTCAAATGGGTTGGTGCAAGTGTTCGGCTGAGGATGCCAAGGAACCCTTGGTGGGCAAGCGCAAATCAGCAAAACAAAAAGAAAGACCACGTACCAGTCCAGCGCATCGGGTGACGCTTCTCAGGTCGTGAAGCATGTTGCCTAGCCATCTCTCTGGTCTTCTTGGTCTTCTTGATGCTATCGCTGAGGATAGTTGCTGGGGAGTTGGTGGCTGAGGTAGCAGGAGTTGATGCTGGGGTAACGTTGGGGGTAGGCGGAACCTTCTTCGGGGTAGCTGGAAGAGTGTCGGAAGTTACCTGAGGATGCAGCTGAAGTCAGTAGGGGTCGGCCGTTAATGACTCTCGAGGGTGCAAACAGCTTGGGGCGAGACACCAATGCCGTGAAGGCGCTGTTGGTGGTAGCGGATGCTACAGATGGACGTCTTCTCCAATACCAGTGATGTTGGGGTCAAGGCACTTGCTCTGCAGCACATGGGACCGAATGTTCTATCATACACGTACCTGGTGAGTGTTTCGAATGCTATGAGAGCTGGAGAAGTTGATGGATATGTCGCAATGATGTAGCAAGACTTGGAAGATGTTCCAAAGCAATGGTCTTGCTAAAGGTATGTGCCGTGATGAGGGAGATGTAGGTCCGAAGATGGAGGGGATTAGATACTCCTCGAGGCCTTCGATCACTTCCTCAAAAGTATCCCAGTGTCCAGTGAAGTGGTTCTCGTCTTCTTATTGGGCAGGAGTACTTCACCCGTGGGTCTTAGCCCTCGAATTCATTCGTCAAATTCTCACCAACTTCTATCGAGGTGACAGCTGGGAAGTGATCGAAAGTGACGGGAATCGAGCTGGGGTAAGGGTGAATGGGCCTATGTAAACGGGTGCAGGATAAAGAGTAAGCTTTTGAGTTGACAGCCAAGTGTGAAGAGATACTACTGTGTCTTATTCAGCTCTTGACACCCACAGCAATCACCAAATCCTTGCTTGCAATTCACTGATATCGCGTAAGTCTACTTGACCTCGAGCCAGCCAGTTACTAACACCTGCTCTCATCTTGTTCCCTCAAGCATCAACACATGCCTCCCAGCTTCCTCTCCTCACATCGAGATTTCACTTTCCCTCCTTCACATGGCCCTCTCACACTTCACCCCTCCCTTAACGATAGCCTTTCGACCAAACCTATCGAGCAGTTCCACTTTCGGACTATCCAGCGAATCGTTAAAGAACATCCTGAGTTTACAGAGACTTACCAACCTCTAGTATCCAGCTTCGAGCCCGATCCCGCTCTTAAGAATAATATTATAAAAATACCAACTCATCTACCCAGCACAATGTCTGGAAAGAAGACGATGATCTGGAATGGTGAGTGAGCTTCTCTACCTCTTACTACCTCCAAACAAGTATATGAAGCTTCAGCGTCCAGCCTCAGCACCTGGCCATCCTCGCATCCTATATCACTGAACCTGCCTTAGCCTCTCAATCTTTCGTTACTATGACACTAATCACCTAGTCTCACAGGCGACGCCGACGCCAAACTCCTCCTTACCATTCTCAAGGTCTCCGATGTGAAGCCCGACTTCGAAGCCGTCGCTCAACAGGCAAGTACCCAATCAACTTCACCATCTCTAGATCTCGGGCCTAACATCTCTCCAGCTGACTACCGATGAAGTCACCTGCACTCCCCGCGCTGTCCAGGAGCACTTGAAGAAGCTGCGCAAGATCGCTCGGGCCGACGCTGATCCCACCGCTCCCGGCAAAGCCACAACTACCACTCCCGTCAAAGCTTCGCGCAAGGCAGCTGCTCTTCCTGCTGGAGTAAAGAAGACCCGCAAGCCTGCTGCTCTTCCTGCTGGAGTAAAGAAGACCCGCAAGCCTGCTGCTGGGGCCAAAGGGAAGAAGGGTAAAGCTGCTGCCAACGTCGATGATGCTAGTATGGATCCCATCGCTTCTCCACTTGTTTTTGGTTAACTCTTCAGCAGAGAACGTGCCTGTCGAGATGGAAACCGGTAGCGATGATGACAACGATACACGCACCTCCAAGAAGCGCAAGTACGAGGATGCTGTCACAGATCCCAGTGATGTCGGCGAGGGGTCTGTTATTGGATCTGAGCTTGCGGATCTGGCTCAGGCGGGGCTCGACGCGGAGATCACCGCCTGAATACCATCGATACACGTCAGGCCGAGACGAATGGGTTTGCTTGACATGTTCGATGGGCCAAAGGCCATGCTGTGTGCTTTGTTACGTTCGCTGCATGAGATAGGAGGACTTGGATAGCTCAGATCCTCCTGCCGATAGCTGAATGGAAAATGCTCCTTTTTTGCATCTCCCTCTACCTACAAACAGCAAATTCTTCCCTCCAGGTCTACCATCCCCCTATTCCCCAATGACACTTGGCAACGCCCTCCAAAGCCTTCCCGCATCTGTATCGCGATACAGCAAGATCCGAGTAAGAAAATACATTCTCTCGTCAATTTTTCGTAGGCGGCCGCGGATGTATGTCACTATCTTGCGGCCCCTATTCACATAAGACACCCTTGGCTGCCTAAACGCTACGGCTGACTTCCCTTCACTGGCACTGTTTTCTTCACTTGCACGCATATCAGTCCACCGTTTTCACAGCAATGTACAGAAGAATCCCTAATCCGGCCCAATCCTGTAGGAGACAAGGGACGGTACTGTAGAGTAGACTTTGGTTTAGGATATAGATACGGTGTTCGAATAGAACTAAACCCTTTTCACCTTTTTTTCATTTCTTTTTTAGACTACCAAAACTATCCCACTAAATCTTTCTATACTTCCTCGCAATTAATAATTCTATATTTAATTAACCTTGTCATGAGATGCCTTAGGAACACTTATAGGGCCACTAGCGTAGGCTTGGCATCGTATATATATATGCCTGCAGATCACATAGATAATTAATATCTTTTACATCATATATATATATAAGTTAAATTATAATAATTTCTTAATAAATCTCGTAACTCTACTAACTATATTTTAAATTAATCTCTCGTCTAATTTTTATAAGATTAGCTATAAAATATTCTTTAAAAGACGTAAAGTCGTATAAGAAGTTTATACTAAGTCTTTATAGCTAAGATATTAAGTATATAGATATTCTATAAGTTTTTTTTACTTAATAATACTTCAATATTAGTAAGAATATACTTAAGAAGAATCTACGAGTCTAGAATAAGAGACGCTACGATAAACTAGAGTGTAGGGACGAAACGCTTCGAAATAATATTATTGCGTTTCTATTCATAAAGTAGAACGTAAACGACGAAGAGATTATAAAGGAATTAAGAACTTAGAACCTAGCTATAACTTTAAGAAAGCTTCGACGATTAAGAATAGACTTAAAGTTAAGAAGAAAACGTTTATGAAAGAATACTCGCTTTTAAGATAAAGAGATTATACGCGTTATAAAGAAGTATCTAAACTACGATATCACTAATAACTAAGATTCTATATATCTTTATATATACTTTTACCGTAATAATATTATTATCTTAAGAGACGATATTATATACGACTTAAGAGTCGTAGATCTCGCGAGTGTTAATCGTAGATACTAGAAGAAATAGTATAGAAGAAAGAAGTTTCTAATAGAAGGTCTTAATACTATTTAGTTAGTTAACGTCTACTATAAACTAGAGATCGTAAGAAGTAATTTATAAAATTTATAAAAGAGTATAAGATTATATTAGATAGGTTTCGTTTAGATCGAGATACTAAGATTATTCTTATTACGAACGTATTTTATTAATTATATAAAGTATAGAAAGATCGATTAGAAGAGAACTATACTATTAATAAGTATTAGATATTTAGTAAAAGTACTATTAATTAGTGTATTAAAGTATAGTAAATATAATTATAATCCTTTATACTAGAACGTTAAATAATCTTCTTTAATCTATTAAAGAAGAAAAAGCATTTTAAAAAAGATAAGCTTATAGATATAATCGCTATATACGCTATTTATATACTCTTAATTCGAGAGATCTATTATAAGTTTATTATTAATTAGAATATTTATAAGATTCGTATATAAAAGAATCGCCTCTATATAACTATCGGTAAGCTATAGTTTTTATCAGTATATATAAAAGAATAAGGTAGGGCTGAACTAGAAAACCTTGAATTTGTATGTGCAGCCAATTATAAATTCGTCAGGTCTACGCTTTTTGGTTAGACACCGCGGGTAAATAAATTAGCGTCCGCAACCATCAAAAATCTACAAAAATCTATGTGCAGAAGTCTTATCCTCTAAAATAACCAGCTCCCTACGGATGCTATTTCTTCATAATTTGATAAATTATAGAGCTCGCTTTACGCTTTCTAACGCTGTAAAAATTATGAAGTTTGATCTACTATTAATAAATTAAATAGATATTTAAATATGGTAGTCATGGTAGTCACACCAGACGCGTCCGGGATCGGATAATAATCCTTCCACCTGTTTGTTATTCTTCCATTATTCTACCAATTCTACCAATTCTACCAATTCCACCAATATGAACACAATCGTCTTCGGTACCCCTCGCCCAATTAGAGCCCCTTACTGACGCCCCCAGGCCACCCCTCGGCGAATCCGCTACTGCTGGCAATCGAGGCCGCAAGCGAGCCTAACAGCTACCTACTACTGCTCATAAACGCGTTGGAAGGCCCTCAAAAAGAGCCCGAACGGATACGTCCTTCCCTATATACTCCTCTCAAGCCAGCGGTAGGTGGGTTAAACTGACATTCAAATATTGTAGTCACACCAAACGCGTCCGGTTCAGTCACTCAGTTGAACAAGAGGAGGATCTACAACAGGCGAATGCGGAGAACATTGCGGAGAACATTGCGGGAGACAGTCATCAGCAGCAGTGACACAACAGGCCTACTCTCCACGGTCTCACACCAATCCACTCAGCCAGTGCAAGAGAAGTCACTACAGCAGGCGAATACGGAGAACACTGCGGAGAAACCAAGCGACAACAAGGCCCCCAGCACCAAGAACAGGCTCAGCTCTCCAAGATCCCACGTCATATGCTCTCCACGATTCCACATTAAATCATCACTTAGTAAGCGGAGAACACCACTGTAACTTAGCCTGTCATCCCCACTACATTAAGGAGTAAGAGGAGGAACTACAACAGGCAAATGCGGAGAACACTGCGGAGAAACCAAGCGGCAATAAGGCCCCCAGCACCAAGAACACGGCTCAGCTCTCCAAAATCCCACGTTATATACTCTCCACGGTTCCACATCAAATTATCACTCAGCAAGCGGAGAACACCACTGCAACTTAGCCTATCATCCCCACTACATTAAGAAGTAAGAGGAGGAACTACAACAGGCAAATGCGGAGAACACTGCGAAGAACACTATGGAGAACACTACGGAGAAACCAAGCGGCAACAAGGCCCCCAGCACCAAGAACACGGCTCAGCTCGGTACCCTCGCACTCAGTTAAATAAGAGAAGGATCTACAACAGGCGAATGCGGAGAATACTGCGGAGAACATTGCGGAGACAGTCATCAGCAGCAGTGACACAACAGGCCTACTCTCCACGGTCTCACACCAATCCACTCAGCCAGTGCAAGAGAAGTCAATACAGCAGGCGAATGCGGAGAACACTGCGGAGAAACCAAGCGGCAATAAGGTCCCCAGCACCAAGAACACGGCTCAGCTCTCCAAGATCCCACGGCATATGCTCTCCACGGTTTCATATCAAATCATCACTCAGTAAGCGGAGAACACCACTGCAACTTAGCCTATCATCCCCACTATATTAAGGAGTAAGAGGAGGAACTATAACAGGCAAATGCGGAGAACACTGCGGAGAACACTATGGAGAACACTGCGGAGAAACCAAGCGGCAATAAGGCCCTTAGCACCAAGAACACGGCTCAGCTCTCTAAGATCCCACGTCATATGCTCTCTACGGTTCCACATCAAATCATCACTTAGCAAGCGGAGAACACCACTGCAACTTAGCCTATCATCTCCACTACATTAAGAAGTAAGAGGAGGAACTACAACAGGCAAATGCGGAGAACACTACGGAGAACACTGCGGAGAACACTATGGAGAACACTGCGGAGAAACCAAGCGGCAACAAGGCCCCCAGCACCAAGAACACGGCTCAGCTCTCCAAGATCCCACGTCATATGCTCTCCACGGTTCCACATCAAATCATCACTCAGCAAGCGGAGAACACCACTGCAACTTAGCCTATCATCCCCACTACATTAAGGAGTAAGAGGAGGAACTACAACAGGCAAATGCGGAGAACACTGCGGAGAAACCAAGCGGCAACAAGGCCACCATCGTCAAGAACACGGCTCAGCTCTCCAAGATCCCACGTCATATGCTCTCCACGGTTCCACATCAAATCATCACTCCGGAACGATGCATATTTGGACGAATTGAAACCGTCCGATGTCTACAGCTATTTCATTATTCGAAAAATTTCACTGCGGCAGGAGATATTGTGGGATTCACACCACTAATTGGCACGTTGTCTCCATTTCTTTCCGGTATTTCGATACTTCTTGCCATAAGGATATGGCCTTTCTCTATTTTTTATAGGTAATTATTACACTTTCTTAATTAGGCCTTAGCGCGCCTCTCTCCGCACATATATATCTATATACTATATAGATTAAATTAATTTTGTAATGATGGAAGTAAGTCAAAAACGCACAGCAAGCGATCAGAGTTCGATTCAACTTAGGGCTAGGGCTAAAATTCGATTTGACTTAGAAAAATCCAACTTCATGAATTTAATTCATAGGCCTTTACTTATATATATATCTTAAGGTATTAGCGACGAAGTACGATAGCGTATTTAATTCTACGCTTATTAATATACTTTATTAGAAAGTAAAAGCATACGATCTATATAAGTACCTTTCTACGATAATATTAAAATAATGTTATAAGAAGATACGATCGCTAGATTTTAATTCTACTACTTTAATAGTAAAGAAATTATTTAAAAAGAAGAGTTTAAAAAAACTAGTATATAGCTATATCTTCGAACTTCTTAGAGAGGAGATTTAATAACATTTAAATATTAATAATAAGAATTTATTGAAATATGTTAAGGAATAGTTCTAAGTGGAATTATATATATGAATAATATATGTATATAGTGAAA